CTTGCATGTCAGGCTTGCATCTCGAGCATTGAAAGTCACGGTAAAGTAGTCGATTTGTAGCACTGCGCAAATTGGGATGACAGAATCTAAGCAACCATATCAACAAATAGAGATAAAACCCAGAAAAAAAAACAATTTATTTTAAATTTTTGATATTTTTGCTGAGAACTCATTCGGGTAGATTGCAATACTAGCAGACTTCAAATGGCAAAAACTTAGTTTAAAAATCAACACCGGTCCATATAATTACCCACTCCGCACCATTTGCGATACCAAATGAAAAAAATTTGGCTGAAAGCAAGTAAAAAGTCTAATGAAAGTTTGTAAAAAAGCCAAAAAAATCCTGGAAAAAATTACCTGCATTTAAACCGGAATCGAACTCTCAAGCTTTGTCTTCTCAAGCATGAAAATAACCACTTCACCAAATGATCACAATTGTTTCTGAGATTGAACTTGTGAACAGAAAACTTTTATTCAAAGAACCAAAACGAGGCCCAAAAATATATAATCAAAATCAGCACTAAATATAAAATTTACTAAACATACATTCTAAATATACAAATTACAGAACAACTTTAAATTAAAAAAATGTTTTAATCAGAATAAAAATCTATTCTTTGGAAAGTAAGCCCATGAAAAAAACTATGCCAAATATCTTATCTGCAATTGAGAAAAAATGCTTTCCACAGTAACTATGCTAATAAAATAAACGGACAGACGACAGTCTAATATAGCCGAGTATTTTCAATTCGCAAAAAAAGGTCTCGACTGTTATGAAACCCCTATGATTTGTCTTTTAAAGCAAGATTATTACCCTTTCAACAAATAAGCAGAATGGTCCTTGAATTTAAATTTATAAACAAAAACCATTTAGCCGAAGAAACAAAACAAAACTCAAAAACAATCAGAGTTGATACATTTACAAATTACAGAACAACTTTCAACTAAAAAATTGAATGTTTTTTTCTTATTGAAAATTTATGTTCTGGAAACAAAAAACATTAAAAAAAATAAACAGATAAAATGCCTGTATTTGCGAAGAACGGAAAATAATCTGACAAAAAAAAAACGATTCTGAAAAACAAATCATTTCAAAAATATAAAAACTACCGAATCAAGGTTCGTGATTTATCTTTAATCTCTAAAAAACTGATCACGATAGCAAGTGAAAGTTTTTTTATATTTCCTAATTTCGAACATATGAAAAAGAAAAATTGTTAACAGGAAAATTTCTAGTCTCCCAGCACGAGACACTTGCTATCGCAAGTTTAATTAGATTGAAAAGTAATTTTATCTGATAACTCCCAAATTACCGAGCATATCGAACACGGGTACCCAAATTATACATTTACGACGCCAATTTTTCAAATACTCACAAACCTTGTTTTATAAAACATACAAAATCCTAAATAATATATTCCTAAAAAAGATTTTACCATTTAGCTTGCGATTGTGGCATTAAATGCAAAAGAAGGTTACTCATATATCTTGACAAAGCTCTCGAATTTCCCGAAGGCTTTCAATTGGAATCAATTAGAAATCTTCAATAAACTGTAAAATTTGGCTTGTAAACATGGTACATTAACTATTTAAAAATGAGTAGAATATAAAACAAGTGAGCAAAACTTTGTATTCGGGCGTGGCGTGTATAAGTTTTTCAAATTTTTCCACCCGAAATCAGGTACAACAAATAAACATTGGAATGTGTTGAGTGATATATCATAGTAATGCCATTTTAGTCGTATTTCGAACGAATTAAAAAAATTTTGCAAAAAATTGTTCTATTGTTGAGAAAAACTGGCTTGAAATTTTTAGATTGAGTCTAATTTCGAACGATTGATTATAAATAGATGAACCATACAAATTTAGTTTCATCCAGCAGAGAAACATTTACTGAACTTTTTAGAATAAAGCGCCATTTGCGTTGAAATATTTAGAACATATCAAAAAAAAATCAAAAACTGTAGATTTTTTGAAATTTTGTTCGTTTTTTTCGGCAGTTTCTGGCAAAAACTGTTAATCAATTTTTCCATTCTTTTGTGACTGTCTAATTATCGAAATTTTGGCATTTCGTCAGATCTTTTCACACACCAGGCGCAGAAAACACAACATAAGTTTGAAAAAAAAACATGAAAAAAGTTTTAGGTTTTAAACTCCATCAAATACCAAATATTTTGAAGACGGGTACCAACATTATTCGTATAAGACGGCAACTCACAAAAATAATTTTTAAGTAGTCACAAAGTTTGTTCTAAAAAACTGAAAAAGATTCCTATAAAATACTAAAAATATATTGTACCAATTATCTCGTGAATGTAGAATAAAAAGCGAAAGAAGGTTACTCGTATATCATGACAAAGCTCAGATTAATTTAACTACCCTTCAATTAGTATCAACTAGGTTTTGGCAGAGAAATTTTTGGATAAATTGTTAAGTTTGGGCAGTCATTATTGTATATTAACGACTATATTATGAGTAACATAAATAAGTGACCAATACTTTGTATTCAGGTGTTTTAAAAAATCATTTTTTTTCCACGCGCATTCAAGTACGTCTAATTTCTAGCGAATTAACAGAAAAAGATAAGCCATAAAAGTATGGTTTTACCAAAACAAAAATGAACAAAATTGAACAAAAATTTTTTGAGGTTAAAGCGGCATGTTTGTGACAAAATTCAAAGATCTTCTTCAAAAAAAATCGAACAATTTAAAATTTTTGTTTGTTTTTAAGAAACTTTTATAAAGAAACTTTTATAATTTTTGTTTGTTTTGCTTGTCAATTTCTGACGAAAACTTAACCAATTTGTCCATTCTTTTTGACTGTCTTATAAACCTTATTTTCGGTTTTCACCAGATCTTTTCATCACACCACGCACAAAAAACAAGACTGTTTGAAAAAAAACACAAAAAATTCTGTCTTTTTAAGAATATGGTCGGAACACTGTGCTTTTTGCTCAGTAACTGTTTAATCTTGTTTTTGTTAGCTAATTAGCATATAAAAGTAATTCCATTTCAGTATTTACAATTACAAACTTTCCGTAAAATTATTATTTTACTTCATTAATTTACTAACATTTCAGTAATTTACAAAGTAAAATATCAGCTTCCAAGGTTTCAAGTAAAATGTCAAAATTCTTTTGCTGCGAGGCCTGCAAAATATTTTTCACATGACAAAAGTTTTTTGTTGTGGTAACTGTCCGATACACTCCATAGTACCCCGAGTTAATTTTTTGCGCTTGTAATTCCGCCTAAAAGCAATTCCTTGTTAATAGCTCTTAAATTACTGAAATTAGTTTATTAACCCTGCGTGTATTTGTTTAATAATGCAAATTTTAATAAGACGAGTATGCATTTTAATTTTTGTTAAATTAGAGTAAATTTATATTCGACGAAATCGGCAACGCTTGATAATAGGCCCATTTTCTTATAATTGTGTACCAGAGGATATAGAAAAACCATTTTTGCCAGATTTCAAGTCGGAACAATTTTTTATGTGAGGCGATAATTCTTCTTACACTTTTAGCACCATAGATAAGTCTTGAATTTATCAAATGAGAAGTTCACTCAGGCTTAAAAATATTTAGGGAACACTTAGACTCGCGTTACCGAAATTGGTGTAAATAAAAAACCACCTTTGGTATATATATATTTCGCACATTTTTCGAAAATCTGAAAAATATGACTTAATAAATGTTCACTCTTCAGTTCACTGAGTGTGAAACATGCTTATAGGTTTTCAGTTTTCACAGTCTCTGATTATTTCATCGTTTTGCCAACTTACTTCTTGAGGTATTAATTAGGCCAAAAGTTTTCATTTTGACTTAACGTTTTGCATACACAAGCGGAAAAACGGTTTAAAAGAGCTTTAACACATTAGAAGAACGAATGTTCACAAATAACTAAGCTCCACAAAAACTTTGGAGGTTTGAATTTCTGCAAACTTATTAACTTTCAGCAGACTTGGAAGAGTCAATAAACGCAAGCAAACAGAAAAAAAATAGATGGCCCTAAAAACAACTTGATTTTTTAAAACAATTTATCTTTGACACTTTTTTGATAAGGTTAACCTAATTGGAGAAACTTGGAACAATAGATAGAGTTATTTCTCTGCTAAAAAATCTGCAAATCACTACTTAGAAATTTCTACTTTATAAATCAAAACTAGAAGTCGAACACGTTTTTGTTAGCTTTACTATTTTGCTGCTCGACAATGAATTTGCCTTCCTTTTATCAGAGAAAATGAACTGTACTGAAATCAAATGTGAACACAGAGGCGAAGTTGCACTTCACATACACAGGCAAAAATATGACCGATGACGCTATTGGGAAAAACTTAATGAGTAAAACTTTGAGTCTACTTTGAGTCAAAATGAACATTTTTTCTGACTTAGGCTGGTGATTGATCAAAATGAACACTTTCAAACTGAATACATTTTGTCGCGAAAATATTTGCGACTTAGGTTGGAAAAAAGAGTCATTCTATAACACAAGCTTTGCTTGTGTAAACAGCGAAACATCAAAATTGAGCATGAACAATTTTTTTTTTTACTTTTCTTGAAAAAAAAAACAAAATAAAAAATCATCGCGACCTAAATAAGTGAAATAAAAACTTTACTGAAATAGAATAAATCGGAATTGGTTAATTTAAAACCAATATAAAAAAAACAATTTTGAATAGAAAACGTTTCGAAACTTCAAACAAGCTGAAACTATGTGTTGTTGATGAAAATTACTAGGCGACCAAATGATTCAAATAACTCTGTTTAACAAATTATTCACCTAAAAAACTCTAGGTTCCATTTTAATAACGCTTCCTAATCGCAACCATAATCGTAATTTTATATGACAATTAAACTCGCACTACAACTCACTCGTAAATAGTTTCACATGGTAGTTCGGATTCGGTATAGCATTTATAGCTATTTTTTTCTTATTAAAATCTTAATAAGAAAAAAAGGTCTTTTTTCCTAATTAACTCGGTGCGCGAAAAAAAAGGCAGCGTTAGGGAACGATAACTTTATCTAAGCTAAGGAATACTAACAGAAACAACAGTTTACGTGATATTAAGTTTTCAAGTTCATTTTAAAACATTGTTCAGTTGCTTGCCGAGCTTGAAGACGAAGACTTTCTCCGCTTTCCTTTTTCTCTGTTTGGCTTTTTCCTGCCTCTGCTTCTTGACCTTTTCCCTTTCCTATTGCTACCTGGACTGTGATATGACCTTTTGCGTCCACTTTTCGATTTACTGCGGGAAGATTTTCTTCGATGTTTATTTTTCTCAAATGACAGCGATTTTTGCTCTACGTCTCTTTGCATTGAAGAGAATATTGTATTTGCAACTTCGCTAGTAGCTTCTAATTTGAGCTCGTCAATGTTGCTTTCGGAGGAGCTGTTTCGACGTTTGGTGCTAGAATAAACAGTGGTTGATGATGAGGCTACCGGTTTCCATTTAGTGTCGTCTTTCTCGGGAGAGGAGAGGTTCCCGCTGCTGTCTTTTCCAGACATCTTTTCCAGTAACCTAAAAAAATGATTATTCGCAAAAAGTTTATCCACAGAAATTCACAGGCTTAAGGCTAATCGATATAAATTTTAGAGACAAAAAATTCTGACCCATTTACCCTTAACTTCGCTCGCGATGGAATATTTCCCTGAAACTCAATTCCAATTGCCTCTTTAAATTCCGCCGAGAAAAAAATATGCTTTAGCATTAATGAGATAACTTGATTTCCATATGCACATCTCAATTTCCTCTTATGTAAAAACGTCCTTATAAAAACGGCCTTATGTAATATGAAATTTTGACGCCAACAAAATGAATTGAGAACTTGATGGAAAAGTGTCTGATTTAAGGGGAAAACATCATTTTTTCCAGTTGGACAATACATGTGTTCCAAATTACTTTTGCACTAAATAAAAAATAGCCTTTGGAATGTGGAGTTTGGATGCCAACAAAGAAAAAGATCGACAATTTCAAAGCAAAAGATCGAAATTTGAGAAACTTTCCAGTTAGACTAAACTTGTTTCTAATTAAAACTGACAGTTTATCTGACTCACTTCTGTCTGAGGTTGTTCTCGTGCTGCTGGAGTAGCAGTTGGTGTCGTTCCCTCTCGGCAGTCTGCTGTTGTTGCAGTCTGTCTATCAACTCCTTCTGCTTCTTCACCTCTGCAACTCTCACTGCCTCCAACTCTGCCAGTCTCCGCTCCACTATCTCCTGACTCTTCAGGTCCTGCACAAACAATAGAAGCATTATCTTCTACAAAGATGTGACGCAACAAAAGAAAGGGAGAATATTTGAAACTAGCAAGAATACTTCCATTTGTGGAAACATCTATCCAACAGTGTCAAAAGTAAAAAAAGAAGGCTAAAAGTCGGCAAGATATATTATCCAGCCAGCTATATTCTCACTCTTTGTTGCCGAAGCAACTACATTTTCCCAATCTTTATAAATCAAAAGTCACTGTGATCAAACATTTGTAATCTCTGTGATATAAACACTCTCGAAACAAACCAGAACTAAGAAAGTTGACTCTTGGAGCCATGTTTTGACCTAAAGTGACAAGTCAACTACACTCTTCAAGTCCTACACAGATAAAAAAATAACTTCAATTTGATGTAGCACGTGGACAAAACGGACCAAAGATCTTACTGAAATTGGTATGCTTCTTTCTTAAAAAAGAAAAAAACTCGAAAGACCAAATTGGCTAAATGCTATATCGGATCTTCATATAAAGAAGTTATCAACAGAAAATCGCTTTCAGCACTATGAATTTATCTCAATGACTGACATATTTGCATGAAACTATTTACCTTTATCCTGAATATGAGACAATGCAACAGATTCATGGCTTCTTTTCTTCTCGCATTCGCCTTCTGTTCGTAGTCGAACTTGGCCTGCTCACTGGCCAGTCGCTGCAAAGACTGGTTCTTCTTCTCAATCTCCAACAGCAATTTCTCCTTCTTGTCCTTCTCCTTCAACTCCGCTCGGAGTAGCTTCCTCTCCGACTTCAGTCTCTGTTTTTCAGCATGTGCTGCAGTCTCTGCCGCTCTAAGCAGAATGGTTCTGGGTTTTAACAGGGAATCTCTAAACAACAACAGGGGCACCCATTCAGTATGCAATTTAAACGAAAGAAAAAAAGATGCTGAACAGTATTCACTTTTTTAGGCAGCCCCCTAAAATTTCGAACAACTTTTCAGCAACTTTCCCAATTTTTATACCACATAATGAATTTTGTGGTTTAAATTAGCTTGAAAACTTTTTGTTCAATCGATATCATGAAGAAAAACTATTAAAAGAATCGATATTAAGCTTTCTATCGATATTAAAAGAAAAACTATTAACAATACCTTCAGGCGATTAATGGGCTGTATTTCAAAAAAGACTCATTTTTGTATTTAAAAACCACATCGATAGAAAGCAAAAACTTCAGAATACTCTTACTTTTCGTGGACCTCGTTCAAATATTTGGTGGGAAGGAACTTTGTATTCTGGTGGGTATTTTCGCTAACCAAAATTAGCTACTACAATTAAACGCCAGATGGTGGTGAGTAACTTATCAAGTTTGAGCCCTTCTCAGTGTGAATCAAGCTACAACTTAAATTTCCCGGAGTCACAAAAAAAAGCTTTAATTAACTCGAAGAGAAAATGGAAATCAAAGCTCTTTGTATTGAGTCACTCTACGGAATGAAAATAAGTTTTATTATCTGAGCTATTAGTGTTTTCTGCGCGAAACCAAGTTCAACGCCTTGCACAACCCAAAAAAAAACTAGCAACACCAACCCAAAAATCCGTTATTTTGTAAACAAGAGTTTTTTTCGTAAAGGATGCTCCTATTAGTTGCACAAAAATCACCTATTCTGTTTATTCTATTTTAGTTAGAGGATTGAGAAAGTATAAGCGTTGAATTTTCTCTACTCACAGCTGGAGTGCCTTCTCCTTGGCCTCCTTCTCCTCCCTCTCCCTCCTCTTCTGCTCCTCCCTCTCCTTCTCCGCCTGTCTCATTCGCATACACTCTATCTTCCGCCTCATTATCTGCTTCTCACTCAGGTGACCACTACTACACAAAACACAAATGATGGTATCATAAACCAAATCAAAATACTTTACTGTTACATAATACTTATATAACAAGTATTTAACGGTTGCCAACATCATGCTAATTCAGTCTAAATGGCATAATTTTTGGCTGATTTATATCATATGTACATTTTCAGCTGGTTTACTCACACTCAACACAAATGCGACAGTCATACTTCAAAGTGTCATGGCAGTTACAATTCTGATAAAAGAGTCCCCAATTTAATTTACAGGGTCAAGTGGGGTTAATTAACTTTAAGAAAAGGTCTGTGACACAATTGCTTATGTTTATTCACTTAATTGCTAACAATTGGCATGCTTTGTGGCCATCTATCACATAGATTCGACAAATCTTTGGAAAATTTCATCAAAAAGTGTAGATATATATATATATGCGCTAAGTTTTCCCAGTAAAAATGGAACCAGGACACTTACTAATCCTAGCCGCGACTAAAAATTGCTGAATATTAACACACAACACAAAATTAACTACCGATCGAAGTGGACTTTGATGTTTGCCACGTAGCTTCTGTTGGCAGTCGAGCTGGCCCCACTGCCATACTTGGGCTTGTACATCAACTTGTGTCTCCCTGAAACAGTTACAGAGACGCGTTGATTCATGAAAGACCGCGCTATATTTAGTCTTAGTAGTTTCCAATAGTTGACTAACTATTTAGAACATGAGCCAAACCCCATCTATTAAAAAAAAAGATATGATAATAAGAAAGTTAAACGCCAAGGTATCCAACCTACTGTTTTAACTCAAAGCGAGAAGTGATTTTCCCAACAAACTTCTTAGAAAAAACTAAAATTAGATGAGTGCTTTTAGCCTAGTATTTAAGACGGAGCCCAAACAATTTGGAATAACGGCAAAAAAAATCATGGACATTCGCATTCAAGTGCTGCGGCTTAATAAGTAGATACTACTATAATTTTACTTCTTCCATATTTTTTTGTTCCTGCGAATCGCAGATGAGATATCAGTTGATCTTTACAGGTCTAGCAAAAGATAGTCCATTTGTATTATCTCCCTACATTCCAGAGTTTGTTTAGCGAAGCTCTTTTTTGCGACTCAATGCCGTTTTTTGCGTCTAGAACTTTCACGTGGTACCACTATTGCTGCCGAAATTGGTCAGGCTGTGGTAGACCTGAAGCTACAGGTCAAGTGAGAGCTCGTCCTCACATACTATCATTGCCATGGCATGGAATCGAATACACGATCTAACGAATGACGATCTCTCGTCGGTCTCGCAAAACAAAACCAATCACTTCACTTACCTAGTGCCTCCATTGCAGTTGCGAATGAGGAGTAGTCCTCGTATTGGATGAAGGCGCTGAAAGTAATGCCCGAAGTGCCTGGTCCAAATGCACTGAATGTCCCAATGCCTCTTCTGTCATCGTCCGTCCTGCATATCGTGACAAATTTAGGTTGCAAAAATAAGTTTTTGATAGCATGCATTTTTGATAGCAGAAAATGCACATTACGACAACCATGAAAAACTTGGTATTTTTTTATTCCGTTGGAAAACCTGAACAGTTGAATCTATTTTTAAAACGCAATTCATTCGTCCCATTTACACATTCGTAATTAAAGAGCGTAATTTGCCTTTATTTTAGCTGAGAATTTGAATTGAACTTAAAAAGAAACCAAAAGTCAAACCGCCGAAATCAATTTCGAGCCTGATCAAACTACCTGAAAAAAAAACCATGATGACCTCTGTGTCTTCACTACGTTCATTGACACTTAAACAGACAATCGGTCTAGTTGGACTTAGCCATTACTGCATAACTGCATCCGTTTTTTAACAAACTAGCAACTGAATATAGGCCTGTCCTATCTCATTAAACAACTAAGTTTGAAACTGAAAATGTATTCATATAAGTTTCTACTCATGATGTTAAAGAAAACCCCACTGTGTGTAATTTAATCGCTTTAACATGATATATCACTCGATCCCATCTAACGTTGATTTAAGCGACCACCTGATTTTGGGTTGAAAACAAAGGGGAAAAATAATGAAAAACACTAATACAACGTGATTTCCCACTTCGTGGTCGGAATAAAATTAATTGAAAAAAAAAACTGTCTTACATTTAAATTATTTGGTCAACCTACCTGTATGGATCCAGCATGGGAATGTCGATGACTCTGATCGGACCGAATCTCGAAAACACTGTCTGGACAACTTCAACATCTGGCATCACCACGTTCGATTTAGTCACTTCTTCGATATTTATTGCCGTCTTCATTTTCTCTTTCTCAACGTTATCGTTATTGCCATTTTGGGTATCTTGTGATTTGGTAGCAAACCAACGACAGGGTAAAGATTCTAGATAAATAGTGTCAGGTCTCAAACCTGGCTGTGTTTCGTCACTTTCGGGCCATCCTTCGAAAAAAGTATTCCAGTTGCTTTCATTTAGCACCTCAATTTTGCTCTCTTTAGCTCTGAGTTTGAAAGATTCCAAATACCCTCCTAGTTTAATAATCTTCCCATCGAGTAGCTCGATTAGTTTCTTCAGATCTGAAGTGCTGTCAATTTCGCCTTCGTATCGCATGAATTCATTCGTACTTTTCACAACTTTCAGATGCACTAGTTGAACAGGGTCAGCCAGTTTCCGAATTTTTTCCATCACCTCCCAATTTGAAAGAACCTGGAATTACAACTTTGATTTTACTTCACTAAAAACAGGATCATTCTAACAGATATAAAACCATTTCTTTCGTTAAAAATGACACAGAGGCAAAGCTGAGCTTCTCGTCGCTCACGAAAACAAATGCAATGTTCTAAAAAGTATATAACTTCGAGAAAAATAGCAAACTGCTCCATATAATTCAAAACATTTATGAATATATCATACATGAAGCACAAAATCAACACTGATGCGACGCTGCACTTCGCAAAAAAAAGTGAGAAAAGGGCAAAATGTCTCTTTACAAAGGGTCAAAAATGAAAAAAAAAAGAATCGAACTAGTAAAACACTGATGTACGGTAATCGAACCCGCGACCTGGAAATTAAAGTCACAAACGCAAGCATTTGCAGCAAGGGCGCTTAACAAAATTTAACACAGAGGCGAAGCGCAGTTTCGCTTCACTTGCGATAGAAAAACATAAAAAACGTAAGCCAAAAAAAAACTAAAAACAGTGAAAAAAACTGGGTAAATTAAAATTTTCGTATTTTTTGATAAACATTCTAAACCTTCCCAGCAAAACATTTGAATATTAAATTAGCAACGGAACAAAACGCACGAATCGAAAACAAGCCGGGAGTTTTTGAGCAGACACCAGTTGAGCCGAAAAAAAATGATTTCAGTCCCCCTTCCCCCATAAATCTACACTAAAGAACACTTGAGACTACAATGAAAACTGCTTCAGGCACAAGAAAACCCGTGATGTGGCAACTAAGCCGACAAAATTTGAGGATACAAAAGAAACCTGATAATTAAATTTTTATCGGAACAAAATTTCAACTTCATACATACTGAAAAAACAAGGTCCGGCCATGACTCGAACCCGGGATTCAAAGGTGCAAAGGCGACCACATTACCTATAGGCTATTTTGTAACGAGCCTGGAAGTTGTTATGGTTCAATAAAAAAGCAAGTTTTGAAAGAAACGTGGTTTACTGGGAAGACTAGTTACCGATTAGAAGACACTTGCGCTCGCAACTGTACACACTAGAAGCCCAACTACAGTTCGAACTACCTATTTGATAGTATTTTTTTTTTTAAATTAACTCTGCCACACAGGTAATGCGTTATTTTAAAAATACGCCAAAAAGTCAAATTGGGCATTTATCAAGTCCATAGCTGATTCCTATCAAAATTACGGAGAACACACTTTTGCAGGGGAGATTAAATCTCCGTTTCATTACATTTTTCAAAACTGGCACGGTAATTTTAGGGTCAAAAATTGGTCAAACATTTCTCAAATTTAAAGCGGATTCCTTCTCCAAATTAGAAAAAAATCGATCATGCAGGGAATACCCTTACAGCTTGATAATTCTATTGCACTCTTAATCTTATATTTGGCAAGGTAGTTTTCTAGGAAAGTAAAAAATTTCCAGAAAAAGGTCAATATTTCAAAACATGGATTTTTCCTAAACTTAATGAGGCTTTTCTGAAAAAAAATCTGACATGATCGCTATGCAGAGAAACTTGAAAAAAAAGACTCTTTCTGCGTCTAAAACTCCTACTTGCTGATTAATCCTTTTATCTCAGATTCGGCAAGGTAGTTTTCGAAAAAATCAAAAACCATCAATTTCAAAAATTTGAACTTTTTCAGGCGATTTTTTTTTGGCCGTTGTTTGAACATTTTGAAAGGCCAAAACTTCTTTTCCGCCAAAATTAGGGCGTTGCATCTAAGGGGCAGAATTTTCTTTTTTTTGGGGGGGGGCAGAAACTACTTCTTACGAAAGGCATGGCATATTCGGATAGCCATGAGTTAAAGCTCTCAACTTGCAAACTATATGTTGGGAGCAACTGTTTCAAAACAGAAAAACTTGAACTTTTCGAAATCCGTATATGACCATTTAAAACATTTTTGAACCTAAAACTCTCTTTCCTTTAAGTTTAAAGTGGTAACAAATATTAAGTAACTTAAAACTTTCCACTTTTCCAATTTGTGACCAGAATATTTTACTGCGAACAAAGCAAATTACAGACTGGCGTATAATCAGCTGACCCAAAAGAAACTCTTGAAAACTAAGCCTCAAGCTTTTAGTCAAAACCGCAATCTTATTAATTGGTTAAGTAACATGCAAATATACAAAAATAACACCAACAACTAACAGCTTAAGCATTCAGAACATTGCTCAGAATGGAGAATACTCTGAAAACTTGAATATAAACATCTATATCGCAAAAACAAAAAAATTGTAAGAAAAACAGCAGTTTCTTTCTCGGAAAAACTTCAAGTTCTAAGCAAGGCGTTTTTAACGCGTTTATAATTATAAACCAGGCTAGCCAGTTGCTGTGCAAGTAGCACAGAATGTTCTGAACATATTTTAAAAAAGAAAAAAACTACAAAATAAAGAATCTATTTTTTCAAAATTAGAGTCGTTGTTTGTGCGTGAGAGGATCTGACATCAAGAAGAACGCGTCGATTTTGTCTAATCCACATTTCGTCTCAGAAAATTGAATTAGGAAGAAAAAAAGAAAAGCACAATTTCTTCAGAAAGATTTGTTGCAGAAATTTTTATTGCCAAAAAATAGCAATAAGTGAAACTTCCAAAACTTGTTTTCCTCGTGTCATTTTATTTTTACTACTTGATTGAATTATTTTATAAGAGCTACTCGCGTGCTGTACTCTGTAAAAACTAGGTTTTAACTCTAAAAAATTTGATTTGTTTTTTTTTCTCGATACAGAAAAGCTATTGAAAATTTATTACTGTCGTTGGCACCACACGAGTGAAGGGCTTTACCATAAGCTAATCGCATCAAAATTCGCTCTCAAAATTTACGTGCCCTAAGTCCATTACACTTTCACTCACCAGCCTCCCCCCCCCCCCCCCCCACCCCCGCAAAAACTACACCGAAACATTATACACTTTCAAAGACAAACTCCAACTGGTTTTTATGAGGCAAACGATTCAAACTCTAGAACAGATTTTAGCCATCTTAGCGTTTTTTAAACAAGAAATATAAAACGCTTCTTAAGCAAATTTGCATTCACTGAGTTCAAAAGGCCATTGATGAAGCCCACTACCAAAAGTTCTCTCTCTGAGATTATCAAACGTCTCTTCAACAGAACTGACACACCCCCATTCAACTAGACGCATCCTCGCTTAAATAAGATCCGGCTACAGTACCTACTTAACACATTTTAAAATAAGATGGTCCTGAATTTCCCCCTTTTTTATTAGCCCCTGTCCTGCTCAGTGCAGGAACAACCTGGGGGAGGGGGAGATGTCATCCATTTCGCCGTACCCGGTCCCACCTTGAGAGACATGTGCCTAACCCACTCGACCACGGCTGCCGAACTTCCCCCTAACTGCCTCCTATGCCCAGCACCCCATACTGCACTTTATCTTTTTAACTATCCCCAAAACCCAACTTTCCTGGCCCCAATAGACTTGTGGCTCCGGCCGATTGCGGCCGCATTGTTCCTTAGGCTCGGCGAGAGCATGCCGGACACGCCCAAAATATTGGGCTAAAAACAACAGCAACAGTGAAGGGCTTTAATTTGATATATCATTGCGCCCATTCCAATGATTCTTTGCGGTATTGATTTTTGGTGGAAAACGAAAAAAACACAGAAAACACACCCGAAGACAAAGATCCTCCCGGTTCCCAATGTTCGGAACAAAACTTCTGATAACATATAAGTTCTGATTGTTTAAACTTTTATATTATGAACTATATCTCTATTGCGTTTTAGTAACTGGCAGCTGAAAAACACAAGCTTTAATTTTTTGAACAGATAAACAAGCTGAAACAAGCTACTCGAGAATTTCATTTTCGTATTATGTGGGGTCGGGTAGGTCTACAACGCCAAAGTGCCTGTAAAATTTATCTACCTTGGCTGAATGAGCTGCATGTGAAGGCATCGCAATTGAAATCAGGATTTTGGCCACTGGTTTCAAATAGAGGCCGTATTCAGCGCACAGCTCCATTGCATCCTCAGAGTGGACACACATGGTGGCGCCTGCAAACATTATCGGTCGGCTTCAAAAGCTCCTGGTTAATTCATTTATCTGAAATGGAGAGCAAATTAAAACACCCGCAATTCCACGAGCTCAAAAATGTTAACTTTCACCTCTCACTTTTTTAAAACAAAAAACAAAAGGTGGAAATTATTAAGGTAACAATGATTGCATCAAATATTCATCATGTTACCCAATCTAAAAATATTGGTATAATAATCATAAAATAATCATGTTTTTGTTGTGGATGCACAGCGCTGAGCTGACAGGAGTTGATAGCTTATTCGTCTTCTACAAAATTGTCCACTTCTCACTTCTCTGCACAAATGAAAAGCAACAGGGGAGGTAATCTTTAACCAGGGGAGTTTTTTTCGCAGCCTATGATAAAAGTATCGAATTTCAAATGATCGTTTAGAATATTTAGCACAAAGCACACACGATAAAAAAAATCGGATTCCGACTTTTGTAAGCCTCAACTGTGCGTGCTGCTACCATACTTGACTCCATCAGAACTTTCTTTGAGGCAGTAAAAAAAGTACAACGCTAAGCCGAACATAAGGCCACTAATTAAACGGCGCAACCACAAAAAATTTAAAACAAGGGAAATATGGAAAATTTAACTCAATGCAGAGCAGGAAAGCCCGTCATTGAGCAATTAGCCCGAATTCTGCGAAAATTTTGACAATTCTGAAAACATAGCCAACAGACAGTTGGAAAAGAGCTTATGAACGCAAATGAACAGAAAAAATAACACTGTCTGTACTTAAAAACATCTCAACTTTCGAAAAAATAGATACTCTTAAAGCTCTTTGAGTTTTTGGAAAAAAATATGATTGGCAATTTTTTGATTGAAAAATATAATTTGAAAAAACGATCAATAAGTAAAATTTTCATTCCACTGGGATATCTGATAATTCAATTCCATTTTTGAAATCAGATTTTTCGTGACCTGTACACTTTTGCTGTTCGATAGTAGAGTTTGCCTTCCTTTTAACAAAGGAAACAAACTGAATTTATATAGGTTTCTTTAAAAAAAAATCAGAAGTCAAACCGCAAGAAAGTAAATTTGAGCCTGAAGAAAAAGACATTTCTTCATTACGAGGCCGAACTGTGCACTGGATAGGCGCACAATTTTCTGTCTGATGTTCCTGGATTCCAGATACAAGTGTTTAAACATGTTCCAAAATGTAAGTGGAATCCACTTACAAGACTTACGTGGATTCCGCGTACATACACTTGTAACATAAATTTTGTCGGCATATTTAACTTGCTGTAAATTCCGGAACAAATAAATATAGCTAGTTGTTTTGGATTCCGCAACTGTAAATGGGTTCCGCAAAATGAAAGTGGAATCCGCAAATTTAAGTGGAATCCGTAAAATTTGTAAGCGGAATACGCAAATGTAAGCGGATTCCGCAAACTGTAAAGGAATTCAGAAATTTGATTATATGCGGAATTTAAAAGCAAGGATTTAATCACTGTCAGCGGAATCCACGAACAAATCTTAAAACATTGGTTAGCTAAATCGATGGATGTCAAACTTTAGTATTTGCGAGCAGTTTTTGGGATCATAGTTTTGGAAACACAACACTGAATAAACTCATTGGATTAATTCGGTAATTGGGTTAAGTCATTATTGGGTTGACATATCGCCGAATTATGTCAGTATTTGGGATTTTGTATTTGAGATTCAGTATTTGGTAGCGTGAATTCAATTTATGAAAATAGTATTTAGGATGACATGACAGAGTGAAATCATGAGTTAGCTATTCGAATTTTTCTGAACAGCTAATTCACAACTATTAAACAAATTTAGAGCTCTGAATATCTTATTCTCAAGGAACTGTCCCGTTTCAAGTGCACATAATGAGGAGAATGCACAGAACTACCCATACACACACATACATATATTTATTTGCATGTATTTACATACATGTATTTAAAAGAAATAAGTTTAAAGGCTACTACTCATATAAATATATGTAACGGGAATCCACAAACAAAATGCGGATTCCACTTACAATTTGCGGATTCCACTTACAATTTGCGGATTCCGCTGACAGTTGCGGATTCTGTAACAGCTCAACTCAACTATACACATGTCTTATTATTTGTTTGTGGATTCCACAAACTGTTCTGGACTCCGCAAAAACGGTTGCGGATTCCGCAAATTCGCCATCTTTTTGGAGTGACTTAGAAAATTACAATGTTTTAGGTATTTGTTTGTGGAAACCAAAACAGCAAATAAGATCAAAAAAATGTAGCAATGTTGCGCATTCCGCGACATATCTGATTTCGGCCTGTTGCGGAATCCGTTTACAAACCACAGAATGCACATTTTGGCCTCGTAATGTTGAAAAAAAACTAAGAAAAAAGCATCCCCACTTGTATAAGAGACTGAACTACGTTCATCCTCTCTTTGAAAAAATCGAAGAGCCTTGATAAAAGCCAAGAGTTGTACTTCAAACAAATTAATAAGTAATTATCTTACTCTTTTTGAAAAACAATTTATTTAACACAGCTCCATTCCGCAAACAGCAAAATATAAAAAGCTTTAAAATGCAAGGAACCATTAAATTAAGTGAATCTGCAATAAAAAAAAACTCACACCTTACGAGACTCTAGAAAAGCTAACGCGCTATGAAGTATAAGTGCTAATTTGTAGAGCGCTATTTCATGAGAGGCAGGTCGGAAAAAAGCGAACAGTATGTGACCAAGCAACATCACTCAAAATAAATTAAAGATTCCGGCACTATTTAGCTAGTTATACTTGCAAATAAGACTTAGCTTCAAGCAACTACTAAAAAACTTTATTACCGATTAGGAAAACAAATACTCTTTAGCAACTTTAGCTTAAAATGATCCTTGGTAAAAACTGACTCAAAATCGTCTAGAAAAAAGATACCTGTTTTAATGGACTACAAGAAAACTTTCAGAGACTATTTCAGATCAGGCAAATCGCGACTTAAAAATCTTTAATGAGATGAATCAATCGATCTTTTAGGCGTTGTTATGAGGATGTACCTAATTTTGCGTGGAAAAAAAACAATAGAAGGCGCATAAAGGGCCTATAGCACTGAATATTCGGGCCAACGTAATCATTGCTTAAAAAACAAAACATAATTTTTTTCCGAAAAAAAAAAATTGAAAAAGACTGTAATCCGCCCTTAGAACAAAATAATTTACATTACTGGGAAACCTATTTTTTTAAACCTATTTACTGGGACACCTTTTTACTCTTAGAAACCTATTTACTCTTAGAAAAACAAAAGATAAAATAAATGGGAAGCATACTGACTGTTAGAAATACCGTAGACCAAGTCATTTCGCTAAAAATTATATTGCTGAAAGAAAGAGTGACTCAATTTGATCTAATCTTCGCTGAACATAGTCAATAGACAGATCGAAAAACGTCTCAAAAAACGCCAACTTTCGAATTTCAAAGAAAACTACACACAGAGACGAAGCAAAGCTTCTCACCACTTGTGATGCAAAAACTAAAAGTCAAGAAAAATTTACCAAAAAATCAGATAAAAATTCTTGCAAAAACATTTTTTGAAATTATATAAGCAACAAAAGCCGCCTACCTCCAACATATTTTTTAAACTGCTTGCTAAGTATCGAATTATTCCAAAGACACGCGATCAAACCATGGGTAAACTTCAAAACTTCGTTGAAAAACTGCATTGATGAAAGAACCAAACACCACTACCACTAAATGATTTACTTTTTAAATTAGTTAACGAAAGACACAAAAACACTGAACATTATTATTCAATTTTTAAGAAGCTTAGACAAATAAGATCAGAAATACAACAAATGTGACCCGAAAACCAAAAAAAATGATTTGAAAAAAAAAACATTACTGACAATGAAAAATTTCGCAAAAAGTTCGAAAAACAATTCTAAAACAATGCAAAAACTTGAAACTTATTTTTGATAAGTCAACAAAAAATGGATAAAAAAACAAATGAAAAAAAAAGAACAAGAAATTGTTTATGAAAAATCAACTGACTTTTAATAGCTATGAAGCCAAAAAAACTCCGATGTTCAATTCCAAAAAAAAATCCGATCAGAAAAGACCAACAAGTTGACTGAAAAAACGGTTTACCAAAAAATCATAAAGAAAATAACCAAATATATATTTTTTAAAATAAGCCATTGAACTAATTTTGAAAAAATGTAGCCCGAAAACAGATGAAATTTTCCTAAAAATGAGAAAAAAAAAATGATACAATTTTTAAATTGGCGAACAAAAAAAGGAAAAATGATAATTTCGTCTGGCAATTCTTAACAATATCGATATTGAAAATTTCTGATTTAATAGCATCTCAAGCTTGCTTGGTTCCCGATTTTAGCATCCTAACACAATGAAATTAAGCAAAACTTGAGGCACAAAAAAAGCAGACAGCAACTTAAAATGACTCCATGAACTCGACTAGCAATTTTAATTTGAATTAGCAAAAAATTTAGAATTAATTATTTCTGATTTGCTGGCAATTCATGCTTGAGTTGTTTTTGTTTTTTAGGTGGCCCAAAAAGCAATGAGAACATTTTCAATTATTGTAGAAAAACTTAACAAACACAAGCAAAAAATTGCGAAAAATCATCAACTACACCAAAAAAAATATTATACAAACAGCTGATTGAACAAACAAAAGCATAAAAGGTTGAAAGCAAAAATATTTGGCAAACAAAAACGAAAAAATTACGAACATTTCAACTTTACATTTATTGGGAAGGGTCTGCGAAAGTGATACAGATTGTTCAAAACATCATTTGTGAGGCGTCAACCATTCTTAAGAAAAAACAATTGAAAAAAATAGTTCGGAAAATGAACCGACGGAATTGAAGCCGACACTCAAGTGCCGAAAAATACCGAAACTTTTTGGCACAAAAATACTATTAAAGGAACTCATAACAACCACAAAAGGACCATACCTAACCTTACATGCACATACTAAATTTACCTCTTCAGTACAACATCTAGAAGTTTCCACAGGATCTTGACTTCTAGAAGTGAAAATCCTGAGGACAAAGTTTTTTACGGGGAAAAAAGTCTAGTACCTAGTTGCAAAACCGTTGCTTATCGCAAAAGTAAAGAGTATGTTATGAATTAATCGAATCTGTTAGTCAATTTTTTTGCGGGTGTACCTAATTTTGCGAAGAAAAAAACAAGAGAAGCCGTTTGAAGTGCTTATAGCAATGAATCTTCGGACCATCGTTCTCATTGCTAACTAAACCAAAAACATTTTTTTTAAAGTTGAAAATTAGTGTTATGTGCTTTTAGAACGAAACAATCAATTGTTCGTATGTTCATAAAAACAAATTGTGTATCGTTGAACTGAGACTTCAACCAGTTTTTCTCGCTATTCAGAAACCTTTTTTTAAAACTTTTTATGAAATATTTTACATCGCTTGGGCACTTCACACCCAAATATGCACTTCATTTGCGAGCTGAGTCGGAAAAAAAGAACCCAAAATAGTAACACTACACTCGCTACTTTCACAAAAATCAATTCGTAGTGCAACACAATGCTTGCTAGTTTAAAACAGAACCGAATGACAGCTATAAAAGTAAGGAAAATGAGAGGCAACAAAAAAATTCAAGTTTCGAAATTTAAAGAAAACAATTTATGCCATTAAATAACTTTGGATTTCAAGAAAAACTGATGATTGGTGCTTTTTTGCTGAATATGCACAGATTAATATGTAAGTTTTTAATTCCACCGGGAAATTTGATAAATAAATTCCATTTTCAAAACAAGAAGTCGATTATGTTTTTTGTGACCTTTACACGTTCGCTGTTCGATATTGGAGTTTACTTTCTTGTAAAAAGGGAAATGAACAGAACTTCAAACGAAATCAAAAATCAAACCGCTAAAATTTAAAACTGAGCGTGAACAAATTTCCTAAAAAAAACAAGACTGCTCGTATATCAGGGCAAAACCCTGAATGTCCCATCAGTCATCTTGAATAGTTTGGACAACATCAAAGTGTGAAATGTTTACTCGAACAAAAATAAAAGGACCGACCTGATTAGCTAGCCTCAATTCAATTTAGAACAATTTTGTTGCTCGCGATAATTCGCCACGCATAAATTATTCGCGTTATGCTCTCAGCATGATGAAAAAATTGTTCAAAGCGCGAATATTTTTGTATAGAAAATGGCCAATTTGGCTATTTTCAAATCCACAAAAAATAATTGGAGGTTAAATATCTTTTTAAATTTGAATTCAGGAAGTCAATATTTTCAATGATGTATAAAAATGGTTTTGTCGAAAACTATTAATTCGAAAATTGACTGAATCAAAAAACCACACAGAGCAGAAATATTCCCTTTTCTTCGAAAATTGGAACAAAAATAAAAAATCATCAAGACCTTTTACTACGTTCATTGCTCCTAGAAAAAACCGTAGACCACGTTATGTCGAAAAAATTTATTTTTGAAAAAAAGACTGACTCAATTTGATCTAATTTTCTCTATCTTTAATCTGAACATAGTCAACAGACAGAAAGAAAAAATACCGACTTCTTTTCTGAAAAAAACTTCAGCTTTCGAACTTCAAAGAAAAACATATGAGTTTGAGATGAATATATCGTATCTTTTAGGCGTTTTTTTGAGGAGGTACCTAAGTTTGCGTAGAAAAAAAAACAAGAAAAGCCGTTGTAACGAACGCAAGTAAACAAAAAATTTCAAAATTCGAACTTTGAAGAAAAAATATGCCATTATAGCTCTTCGAATTTCAAGAAAAATTTATGATTGGTGTTCTTTTGATAAATAAAACCCCAATTTGAGAAAACTGGATCAATGCGTAAAGTTTTAATTGCGCTTTGAAATCTGATACTTAAATTCGAAACAAGAAGTCGATCACGGTTTAAGAGACATTTACAATTTTGCTGTTTGATAGTGAAGTTTGCCTTCCTTTAAACAAAGGAAAAGATCTAAACTTAAAATGAAATCAAAAACCAAACCGCGAAGAACGAAAAACTGAGCGTAAACAAATTTTAAGACTTCTTCCTTAAAAAAAATCAACAAGACCATTATAGAGTATTTTTACTCACTACATTCATTGCTTTTAAAAAACCATAGACCTTAGACATTCATTGCTCTTAAAAAACCATAGACCATAGCAAAAATTGATCATTGAAGAAAGAAAAAAAAAAGACTCAAATTGATCTTATCTTCGCTAAATTTAAAAAACTGTAAGAGTATTCGAAGAAAATTATAAGAGTATTCAAAGAAAATTATGAGATAACATAAAAGTGTTCCTTCGTTCATGACTCTTAAAAAGCAAAACACTCAGAAGTGTTTTCTTAACTTTGGGAGCTCATTGAATTATTTTTTGAAATGCTTTGAAAAAGAGATACCTGGGTAAATAACATAGTATTCTTCGAGGTACCCAAGTATCGTGAAAAAACTTACTACCGCCCATTTTTACTCTTTCAGAATGGTCGGGTAAGACTACCCATCCCGGATTCTTTGATGTAAAAAACTCTTACTGGAAAAAAAAATGTCAACAAAAAGCTGTGTTGGCGTTTCTTTCTTTCTTTCTGAGGTCTAAAAATCCAAATTACGCAATACTTCCCTAATTTAATTGAATCGCCAGGATGATGCGGTTCTTGTTTCTTTGTACTCATGAAATCAGCAATCAAATACTATATTTCAAAGGAGAGAGGTTATTCAAAGACAACACAACGACATACTTAACAGCAATATGTTTAAAATAACTAGCTTGATTGTAAAATCAATCTATTGCGGTAGTAAATTGGAAACTGCGTTTTCAATATTTTAGTGCAATCACTTGGTAAAAAGAACTTCAGTTTTAATATCCGTAAGATCCCAGGTCCGCAGTTCCGTACGCGCTTCGCTTCGCCGGCGGCGGCCCGCCAGAGGAGTACCCATATGATTCCGAGGCAACCGGTCTCTTTTCTCCGGGATACTCACTGAGTCCAGACGGCGCCATCCCTGAACTCAACGTGTTGTATAGACCACCGGAACCTCCCGCTCTCGATGATCCGTAACTATCTTCAGCGAAATTTTCATGCTGTGGTATTTGTCGTCCTCGAGCGTACGTATCTGGGTAGTCGGAACGCGGAGCAGCGCCATAATCGGATCTAGGAGGAGCTGCGTACTCGTCTCGTCGAGGTGGATATGGATCAGGCGCAGTCTCACGGCCCATCGGAGGTGGTGGGTACCGACTACCTCGAGGACCACCTTCGTCTCTTCTCGGGGGAGGAGCTCCGCGGTCGTAAGACGGTCCGTAATCTGCATACGAGTCTCTTGCTGGTGGATAGCCGTAAGAATCGCCACCTCGGGGAGGTCCATAGTACGGGTCGTTATAGTAAGGATCTCGGCCTCGAGGTGGAGGAGGAGGTGGAGGTCGTCGGCCATAACCGTCGTCTCGCGAGTCGTATCTATCTCGGTAATACGGGTCTGGAGGAGGTGGACGTCTTCCGTAATCGTAACCACCACGCGGCGGCCCATAGTAGTCATCGTAGTACGGATCTCGTCTTCCGCCACCCCCGCGGTCGTCGCGTCGATCACTTCCGCGGCGTCCACCGCTAAAGTCTCTGCCTCCGCCGCCACGGCCTCCACCACCACGACTATCACCGCCACCGCGTCGGTTTTCGCCAGTCGACATGCATACGTCAACAAGGCATCCGTTAAGACTCGTCTTGTGCAGTCGTCCTATGGCAATCTTGGCGTCGTCTCGGTTACTCATGTGAACGAAACCGTATTTGTCCACGACTACCGCTTCGCTGACGTCTCCGTACTTCGAGAACGCATTTTCTAAGTCATTATTCGTGACTTTGTCTTTGTCGAGGTTGCCAATGAAAATCTTTACGTCGTTGTCGTCGCCTGAAATGTCACCTAGCGCCAATGAAAAAAAAACTAATTCAAAAATCATATAAAGCTACAAGACCTAAAAGCGATGTTTGATCATTTTTTCATGAGATTCAGTTTTGATAAATTTCAAACAAGCATAAAATGCAAATTACCCTTGCTTAATCACTCACTTTGAAATGATTTGTAATTCACGATGCTTACATTCCTCAAGCCTGCTATAAGCTGTAGAATTGAGGCAAGGGATTTAATTAATGAAATGGCGAAACAGAAAATGAAAGATGGATAGATAGGCGGATAGATTTGTTGTTACCTCGGCGCGGTCGCGATATTTCGACGCTCAGTTTCGTGCCACAGAGCTCGGTACCGTTCAGGGCGGTGATGGCCTGGTTCGCGTCTTGCTTGTTTTCCATGTGCACGAAGCCGAAGCCGCCGCGTTGCATAACTACGCAGTCGGTGACCGGGCCGACAGCTTCGAAAGCCTCGCGCAACTCCCGTTCCGTCACACTACTGCCGCTTAGATTGCCGACGAACACTTTCACCATATTGTAATGCTGCGCTGCGCTTTCAGATTACAATAACTCGATCGGAATGAATTCGCAACAGCAGTTTAACTTGATTTAACAGCCTGCAAAGCACGATTGCGAAATGGCGGTTACAAGTGCAAAATCTCTGAAAAAAGTGGGAACTCTTCAATCATGTTGCATATTTCAAACTCTAATTGCGATCGATTTCGATACATGCAATTTCGATACGAAACTCGATCGTTGTCATCGTAGCAAATGTTTAAAATAAAACTAGTGTACAACCAATATTTAATTAAAAGTAATTGTTCTTTAGGTGCGTGTTGAACAACTTGAAACAAACAAAATTAAGCACCTTTCTTTTAACCAAGATTTTTTTTAATTCAAATTTTGTCTCGTCAAAACAATGGTAGATATTTAACACATCAAATGAGTTTACATTGCCTCTGTTCAAAATACAATTCAATTAAATATACAACTCTTTAGAATAATTAATACTTTTTATATTACACAATTTTAGCGCTGAATAGTTCAAATTTGATAAGAAAGAGTAATCCAATGAGTTGTCACAGTAGCATAAATCAGTTGGATGCAAAAAGGGGTTGGATTCTGCTCTAGATAAAAAAAATCCCCTGATAATTTTTTGTCCGCAAACCCGTGTGGTTGCTAAGCAAAAGCTGTTTTGTTTTTCTTTGAATACAATTCGGCCATCAAATAAGGATCAGATTTCAGATTCAACTAAAAATTCCGCCAATTACGAGTTAACATCAAGTACCAATACCGTGAGTTCAAAAAACCGACCCCTCCGATCACTAATTCTAGTTGCGCTTAGTTCAAAACCCCCATCTAATCACTTCGTCTTTGCCACCCACTTAAAAACCACCATGATTACACTTCTGACACTGCAGACACAATGACATCACTGACAATCTGGTCTACACTCCTCGCAACCACATTGATGGCCACGCCCTCAACCTGGGCGAACTTGACCTTCACCAGTGCCTCCTTGCCCCCTCGGAACACCCCCGAGAGGAAGAGGGTGTGGTTGGTCTTCCCTTCGGCCACCTTGTCACTCCGCTCACACGCCTGAAATGCAATTATTATTCCCTGGTTTGTCATCATGATAGCAAAAGCAAATTGAAAACTTCGTTTGATATAAAACAGTTAATATATTGCAAACTTTAGCAAAATGATATTATCACAAAATGATTAAGAAAGAATAAGAGCTTTCAGTTTTTTTTTTTTTTTTCAAATACGGCATGATAACAGTCTATACACGCTACTCGTTTTAAATGAAAAACTGACTTCTCGATTTCTTTTAAAGTACTAGACACAATTTTGACACTTAGTATTTTTCATGTATGACTTGCCTGCATGCCCATGAATGCGAGTATGTTGGCCACTGCCTCAGGCACAGTGTTCACAGAGGGGATGGCGAATGTCTCCTCTGTCTCGTTCTCCATCGAATCCCAGGCAGCCCCGAAGCTCGCCTTCAGACACTTCATCACGTGATCACTCAGCCCAATCTCAATGTCCTCCAGTACATAGTCGTCCTCGAAGCCTACAAGAAAGGACCAGAAACAATTCCGAGAAATTGTTACCCAATTTGACGATATGCGACTGTTTTTCACTAATTAAGAGGGGATAAACAAAGACATTTTCTCCACGATTATTATCTTAAAATGCGGGTTGGTTTCCTAACCAGCAGCAGTCGACTAACTTCATTTCATTAGCCTTTAAATCTTATCACCTGGTGTCAAAAAAAGGCCAAACGTTGTTCTCAAACAGGGAGATGATCTTCTTTAATGCTCGGAACTTCTCAGTTCCTTTAACAATAAAAACAACTCAGTTGCTTACCATCCTCACTATCAGGTTCGAATGTGTTCGGGTCACAGTCCTTCACCACAAACTTTAGAGTGGCAGAGAAGCTGCAGGAAGATGCCATGAGGGGGTCTTCAGGCAATCTAACGAGAGCATAGGTGATGCCCGGCTGGTTGTAGATCAGGCGAGCACACGGCAACACTTTTTCCACTCGGAACCCATCCGTGCTGGGATCCAGCTCAACATACACGCGATCCAACAGCTAAATAGACGAATTATCAATTCAGGCTAAAAAACATCATTATTTTATTATTTAAATCAGAAAACAACTTGAGTAATTGAACACAGAACGACCAAAATATGAAGGAAAAATGGATTGTGAACTTAGTAGAAAATATGTTTTCAATATGAAGGTTTCAGATAAGACTGATTTAATTGTTTTATTCAATTGAATCAATTACTATTACAGAACACTGCGAAAATATGTTCCATGATAAGGTTTAAAAAATACTAGAAAAATCGTAACTAACTTGATCCTGCAATGTATTGGTGCAGTTGAACTGCAGCACAATGTGGTCGTTGAATGTGTGTTTGACACATTGGACCACATACTCCGTCTCCGCTTCAGTCAACTCCACGTTATCCGAAGACTTGAAAAGGGGTCCGAGGGCTGCAAACTCCGGAACAGCTGCCAGCTGTTCCGCGTAAATCTCCTGCCGACCAGCTCCAGTGATTCCCACCGCGTCCGCTTTTCCAGCACCAGATGAACCTCCCGAGTGATCCGAAGCAGCAACTTGTTGCAAAGTGGGTTTTGGTTGGACGCTTTGTTCCGACAGGGGCTGAGCAGAAACCGGGACGCTCTTCATGTCAAACGGTTGCTCGCAGGAGTCTCGAACATACTCGGTCAGTGCCTTTTCCAGCCCGCCAATTGAGACACTCATCGTGTTCAGAATGTACTTGGAGTTTAGAGCTCGGTCCTTCTGCTCCAGAATGCTCAAGTAGAAGGTCGATCGGTCTCGAACCTAAAAACAGCTCAAATTTCAAACTTTACTTACCGCTATCTTTCTTGGTCATTCCATCGCCAAAATCGTTTCAAGAATTGAAAGAGCGGCTTTATATGTTTTCATTTAAGGCCATTCTATGCCCCTGGGCAGAATCGCAGAAATTATATTTAAAACTTTTTCTATGCTCACATTTAAAGTTAGTGATTACCGATTCAGTATAAATATGATATGGGGTTCAACAAAACAGTAAAGGACTCTTTTTCCTTTTTCTCACGCCAGTCAATTTTTAAAAGGAATTTTTTTGCACACTTTCCGATTGAGACAGAAAATGGCATGCGAAATAATAAGGCCATAAAACATATTTGGTCTTCATACTTAACCTTGTAAAACCCTCTTTCTTTCCATCATAAAATTGACTTAATAAATTGATAAAAAAGATGACTTACTTCGTCATCGGAATCCATGAGACACCTTTTGAGCAGAGTGATGATATTGGGCAGCAGGTCCTCGCAGGTTGCTCCGAATTTGGCCAGAGTACTCACTGCAGCCGCCGTCACCGCCGGATTCTCCAGCAACACCCGGTTGTAGATGAACCTTAACACAAAAGTTAAATCAAAGAAAAAGATCTGTTTAAACAGAAGCGAAGCGGAGATTCGCATCACTTGCGATACAAACATAGCAAACAGGTAGGAGGAAAAGGGCCAATGAACGCAAGGAAACTGAAAAACAACTGACATGTTTTTTGAAAAGCTTCCGAATTACAAATTAACAAATTCTGGCTGTAAAACTCCTTGAATTTCAAGAAAAATAAAGTATTAACACTTTGTTGATAAAATAATCCCAATTTGAGAAAAATGGATCAATGAGTAAGACTTTTGTTTCGCTGGGAAATCTGAAACAAAAGTCCTCTTTCAAAACTAGAAGTAGATCGCGTTATTCGAGATACTGAAAATTCCTCTTTCAAAACTAGAAGTAGAGCGCGTTATTCGAGAACTTAAAAATTTTGCTGTTCGATAGTGGAGTTTGCCTTCCTTTTATGAACTGAATTTAAACATAAATCAAAAACCAAACAGCAAAAAAGTAAATTTGAGTCTGAAAAATTTTTTGGACTTCCTGAAAAAAATCATTACGCATTTTATAAGAGTCTTAACCAGTTCATCGGCTTCTGAAAACGTCAACTTCATTCAAATAAAAATTTTCTGGCCTAAAAGCTCGTTGAATTTTAAGAAAAACGAATGATTGACACTATCGTTATGAAATTATCCCAACTTGAGAAAACTGTGTCAATATGTAATTTTTATTCCGCTGGGAAATCTGAATCTTAAAATCCACTTTCGAAATTAGAAGTCAATCACATTTTTCGTGACCTGTACACTTTTGCTGTTCGGTAGTAGAGTTTGCCATCCTTTTTACTAAGGAAGTGAACTGAACTTAAAAAGAAATAAAAAGTCAAACCGCAATGCAATATTGATACTCATGCCCCAGATATTTTTTGCCTGCTTTGAGACCTTTTGCATTTTCTTTTTAAAAAAAACCCAATTTGGATTGGCTAATGAAATATTTCCGTTATTCATAATGAGATATTCTAATTTTTCGAAGCAAATGAACAATCTCTCGTCTAATTCAATTTAGTGGTGATATCTTTCAGTTGGTTAAGGTAATTATTTTCAACCAAACAACATTTTGACTGTTAATTTATTCCAAAAAAAATGCCGTTGTTTTAGAGAGAGAGAGAAGGCAGGTGACCCATTTGGGTGGTTGAGGCACTTAAAAGGAAATTAGACGTTTTGCAAAACTGCAATTGTGAGAAATTAGGCGAAAGTAAGACAGATTAAAATTGTTTGCAGACAAATTGCGTGAGAAAAATAAAATTGTTTGCGAACAACAGTTAAATTTCGGTGGCCAAAAACTGTACATGTCAATTATGCAGAATTTATTCAATTCAAAACTTTCCTGTAATATTCGGATTTGACATTTTATGTTCATTTAAATTAATGGTTTTGATAGGTATCGTCATTTTATGTACTTTTTGTATTTGTGAGACTTGACTCTTAAGAAAAAACTTTGTTGGCCCTTTCCTTTTCATAGCAGTGACGTCTAAAATGCCACATCTGTAAATGAAAAATTTCGTCTAAATTCGTTTTTGTAGCATTCGTCTTATCTGCTTATCGTCTAATTTCCTAGGCCCCTCCATTTGATTATTTTAGGAGCAGCAGGGGGAATATTCACCTGGTCTGTTGCATTAATTACCTGATGTATTTGGATGGTTGTGCAGTTCTAGGCCCCTCTCGGCCGAGGAGGTGGAGAATGCGAGTGGCCAGCACATCATGCTCACAGTCCTCAATGAACTCACACAGATGGGCAAGGCCTGTCTCCCTAGCATCCATATTCTCCTCCACTATCCCCACAATGGCATCTATGATTGACTTCTTGTACACGTAGCCGCCTAAATGATAAACAACTAACTACATAGCCATCGAGAGACCTTCAATCATATAGAAACCGCTAGACATTGAAATTGAAGTAAAAATCGTAGAAACCGTGCATTTAAAACATTAAATTTTTTTGATCAGTTTTGATATATTAAGTTTGAATTTTGAATTTCGTTCAAAACTAGCATCCGATTCTGATAGAGTTTTTCTTTATAAAATATACAAAATAATTATTGTCACATGCAAGGCTCAAGTCTTAATTTTCATGCCCAGTAATAATCAGTGACTACAAACCCTCATCCCTCAGCATGGATCCCAAGAAGTTCAACAAGATCCCGTGTTTGCGCGGGAACTTGTGGCACAACGCCTTGATCGCATCCACCACTACCGCTTTAAATTCATCCGAAATTTCAGTCATAAAGGAAGTGATTTGCTTCATTAGTCGATCAACACTCGATTCATTTCCTGTTTTCAAAAGCGTAGTTATGGCCAATGTAGCTATGTTTCGGTTACTATCCGAAATCAAGTTCTCCAGGTCCAAATTACACGCTGTCACAGCGGCTGGATGATTCATAGCAATCTTGTTTAGGGTCCTGACAGCTGCGAACCTCAACGTCGGCTTTGGCGAGCTGCAAAAAAGTTGAAGAACCGAAACAGCAGGGGCCAAATCCTTGGCTGTGATTCCATTCATATTTACCATGGCATGCGCAGCTTCGTAAATAACCATCTCGTGGCGGTGTCGAAGACAGTTCTCGATGAACTCAAAGAACTGACTACCAGTTCCCTCGCCACTGGTTTCAATCAAGTTAAACGCCACCCTAATTAGCAAACAACATGCGTATGGTGAACGCAACGAAGACCGACTGAGCTTCGCAACCAGTTTGCTGACAGCCAACTGATCTCGCTTTTTGATCTGGTAAAGGAGACCCAAAGCATGGAACTGGATCATGACATTATCCGAATTGAGAGCCTCTTGGGCTTCGTTCACCCATCGTTTCACGACATCTGGGTTCATGTGGTACATTTTGAGAGTGGAGACCAGAGCTGCGGATGCCACGTGGGGACTCTTTGCCACGATTGCTTGTTTCATGTATCGCTCTATTTGTTGGAGCATTCCACTGTCTAAACACACACAAAGAATCAAGTACATAAGAACCACAACATTATTTGAGCTCATAAAACTTTTTTCACATATTTATTTGAAAATTTATTTGACATATATATTTTCAAAATTTTGCCGTTTTGAAGACATGGCCTAAGTTAATACAAATCGGTGGCCTCACTAACCGGCAATGGAACATAGTGCGCGAATTGCAGGTCCTCTGAAAGCTTCGACAGGTCCCGTCATATCCTTAGTCAGACTACTAGTCACGATGATCACATCCTGTGCCAAGTTGGCTAGCTCCCTAATAGCCAGGAACAACATCCTTCTTATGCTCGGATCCGTAGACTGAAACAACTTGGTCATCGAGAAGAAAGCATCAGTAGCTTCAGGCGTCGACACCGCTTCGCCCTGATTTAAAACGTACAGCAAGTTGGTTAGTTTGGAGACACACTTCCTGGAGTTGATTGGAGTCTCGTTGAAGCTCCTGGTCTCTTGCAACACGGTCGATTTGTCGAGACTGAGGAACGGATTTCCTCCAGAGAGCTCATCATCTTTATCCGACTTGAATTTCATGTTAACAGACTAGATCTGAAATTATTCGTCTCCTTCATATTTTTGCTACACAGAAAACGTGAAACAAACGTACAAATTGACGGATGTGCATGTAGTACCAGAAACACAGAGGATAGAAAAACTCTGCCAAGGTTTCAATCAGAATAAACAAACTGATTTTTCGAACTTTGATCAACACTCTGATCAAAGAGTCATTTTGTAAAATGTAACCAGGAGTAAATCAATAACACTGGCAGCTACTATGAAAATTGCTTACACAAAGAAAATCCGCGATGTGGCAACCAAGCCGAAAAAATGCAAGCAGACAAACGAAAATCCGACAACCGCATTTTTCTGGGAAAAAATTCAATTTCTAGCATGCCGAAAAAAACAAGGTCCCGGGGAGGGGAATCGAACTCCAAAATATAGGGTGAAAAGGCTACCGTTTAGCACCTCGACCAAGAGGGAAGAAGTCTGAAAACTGTTAAAATTCAATAATACAAGAATTTCCATTTTTTACAGATTCGTATGCAAAGTTGTTTAAGGAAAAATTATAGTTCCCGATTAAAAGATACTTGTTCTCGCAAGTGTAATCAAAACGAACTGTTGATTAATTTCAGATACGTTCATTATCAAGACACCTACCAACATTCAAGTTTTTCGCGCTAGTTCTTCTTTTTTAATTGGAAAGCGTATTTTTTCTACCTTTCGAAAATGAATTTAATTTGAGATCAAAAGTCAAACCACCAGAAATCAATTAAGTACAATCAAATTTTTCCCGAGAAAAACTTGAAATATCATAATGATCTTTAAGTAAATTACATCTCAAATAATATAATTATCGGCAGATTATTTCCTAAATAGCATTAACTCCATTCAACAGTTGAATTGGAACAAATTTTCGAAAAACCCTCTAGATGAACAAAGTTTGAAAAGTTGTTAAATTATCAATTCAAAAATGGATTGACATCATATCTGGGTGAAAATATATTGTATTGCAATAGTTTGTAGTATATTTCAATATTCTTATTGCAACACTATATTTCGTGGTAGAAAAAAATTGCAATACATATTTTGGCGGAAAAACTATTGCAGTAAGTATTGCTAGAGATAAATATATTTTGCAATACAAATATTTTGCAATACTTGTGTCAGACAAAACAAAAAAACCGTCACTGAATTTTTCGCATACTTTCAGACAGTTGTGCGATTTTTTTCCGAACATGTGAAAAATCTGGAAGGATTTTGTATTCGGGTGTGTTTTACTTTTTTTCTTTTCTTTTTGTTTTCCACGCAAAATCAGGTACCAAATAATCATCGGAATGGGCCGAGTGATATATCAAATCGAAGCCCTTTCAGCCGTGATTCGAACGACTTTCCAAAATTTCAAAAAAATTTTCATCTGTGTCGAGAAAAACCAGTTGGAATTTTTGATCTATCACAGAGCCAATAAGGTGAGCGTGCAGGCTTACAATCAAAAACTCAAAAAAATTTCTGCACAAAAAAATAAGCAAATATTCTAAAATTTTTAAAACCTGCTTCCAAATGGACCAGTCATTCAACAGTGCCAGTCGGTTCAACAGTGCCAAAAAAGGCGGGAAAATTTCAGAATAATTTACACGCATTTTCTAAAAAGCGGGAAACTACTGACGCTAATTATCAAAGAAAATCACTCCAATTTTGGCGCCAATATGTCTGCAATTGCAAATTAAACAATTATTTTGGCGCCAAAACGTCTAAGTTGCAAATTTTCTTGCTCAAAATTTAATAGTTTTACTTAAGATTGTAAGCGATCGCTGTCTAATTTTTGATTGCCGCACTTAATATGTTGAAATTTATTCAAATTTTCGGCACTGTTGAACAAAGTTTTCATTTTCGGCACTGTTGAACAAGTTTTCATTTTCGGCACTGTTGTACTTCGGCACTGTTGTACTGCCCCTTCCAAATTGGCCTATTTGACTATGACTAAATTTCTAATTTTTTCAGACTTTTTTTATCACACCACACAAAAACGCCAATTTAAAAAAAAAATTCGGATTTTTTAAGACTGGTCCGGACATTCTGTGTTAAAAAAACGACACTAATTTGAAAAAAAAAATTCATATTTTTTAAGACTGGTCCGGACATTCTGTGCTAATCTGTAAAAAATATCAATTAGATGCAAGATAAAGGAACTGTAAGATTTTGAAATTTAATTTTTTTTTCTTTAAATCTTTTATCTTTTTTTTCTGTATAAATGTTACTTAGATTAAACAATCAGGTCCATATAAGACAGTACTTAATAAAAAGTTCTCAGCGGCGCTTCAACAGGTTGAATTACCTTCTGCACTTGCTCAATCTGGTGCTCTATCAATGATAAGTTGTCTATATTGTTGGATTATTGCATTACTTGAAATAAATTTATTATAGTAATCAACTATCCTTTATGCCTTTTTGTATTCTTCCCGTCAACATTCCGCTGAACCTTGAATGCCTATTTTACCTAACTGAACAAAATGCCAACGGTTCTCAGTTAAGAAATTTGTCACCTTTATTGGGCGAAGAGAAAGTTGACGCAGATGCACGTTCAATTCATTGAATCGACGCTACCATTTTCTGGTAAATCAATTTCTAATTTTTCTTTCTTGTAGGAGACTGCCCCGTAAATATAAAGACAAGCTAGAAGCTTGATTTAATCTCGCCTGTGAAAAGTAACTGTTTTCTAATGAAGCAATCATCAACAAAATTCATAGGCTGATGGTTTAATTGAGGAGTGTGAAAAAGTATGTTGCATAAAAGAAAAAAAACACATTTGCGTCCTGTTATTGCGAATGTGACTCGCTGGTCAAGGACCTACGAAATGATTTGTCGTTACGAGCATCTGAAAGAGTTCATCAATAATTTCAATCGACACATCATCAACTTAATGCCATCTGCAGCAGAGAACCTATTTATTAGCAATTTGTTAGAAACTGGAGAAGTTGGAGTCTGATACTAAGAAGCTTCAACAATCGGATCTAACACTTGGTGATGTGTGTGTTCTGTTCGATGCAATCATTACCATCTTCCACACGATGGAGTCTCATCTCTCCCGTAATTTGGACATTGTTGCTTGGGTTCGAACATGCAGTTTGCGCAGTTCTCAACAATACATCGGATGAAGAATCGCGCTAGGAAAATCAGCTATTAAAGGACTTCAGATACCCGGTTACACCGAACGATGTTGATGGAAATCAGCAAGGATTGTTTGCGAATTTGTTTATACTGTAAAGAAAAAAGCATCTTAAGAAGAAAAATTTGCCCTGAAATTAAATTTGCAAAATTGATTTAGGGTGGAGATTGCTCACTTGGTCCTAACATTCTAGAGCTTTCTCTCAACTTTTTTCGCTCCCAGAAAGCTCAGTGGAAGTATCGCAAAAACATTGCAACAATTGCAATACATATTTTGATATAGAAATCTTATACAATACATATTGCAAGTTCCAAAAATATTGCAACACATATTGCACTCTGAAATTGTACTGCAATTGTATTTTAACCAGCCCTGAATGAAATTTATCTTGAAAATAGTTCTAGGAATTCTCATCAAAAGCATAAACTTGCTGTTACTGTCTTATTTCTAGTGATCCATTTTTCCAGCAGAACTGCCACACAACAATTATTCGGAAGCAATAAAATCCCAATCATGCTCAAGTCATTTAGGAATTATGTCATTTTGGAAATTACCCTATATAGGTGTCTTCACTATCAACCATACAATTTCTCCTAACGATTTAGGGGGGATAAAATACTGGTTTTTCAAGTGTCAACTTTTATAGCAAACTAAATTGATCTAATTAATAAAAAAAATACTTCAAAAATAATTAAGCATAATTTGGTTAATTAACAGTATAAAATAGGTATTCCTTTTTAAAAGCAGTCTATTCTGCACTTTTCTTTGAAATGAATATTTTATACGAAATCAATTTTCAAAATTAATAAGTGGCTAGGGGGGATATTGTACATAGGGTCACTTAGGGAGGGGGGGGGGTACGATTGATCCCAGTATGTTCATTGGCATTTAAAAAAAGGATACACGAGCTGACATTATACTCAGTTACACTCCTGTTCAAAATACTGATTTAAGCGTTTTTCGTCATAGCGTTATTTTATAAACTTGAAATGTTTGAACGGCGTCGCCGAATTAAAAGAAATTGGAAAATTAATAAAAATTCAATACTTAAAAATTAGTTGAAAATTTTGTGTTCCTCTATACAGCCCTTTGAACTTTATTGGCCTGAGAAGGGTGTCTCAAGTTCACAATAGAATTAAAAAAACGAAAACCTGTCCTCTAAAAATGAAGTATTCTTTGAAAAACAGTGCCAAAAACCATATTTGGCGATTTTTGGACCTTTAAAAACCATTGGTCCGGAGCGATCTGCGTTACACCTACACACAGCACGTTTTGTTCTTTATCTTTATAGGGAATTAAGAGTCCGCAAATGGATTAAGTAAACATTCAACATCTTCCCCTCTCATTTCCCATCACTCAATCTGAAACTACACTTGAATATAAAGTGCACTTGAATACAATTGGCTTTTATGAATTGAAATGGAGTGATGCGTGTCGTCTGCGCCTCTTGATGCAGCTCAGCAAGTGTTTCCTGTCATATCCCCATCCCATACAACACCCCCCCCCCCCCCCCCCGATCACTTATGGAAATCAAATTGAGTGCCACTTATACACATATCCATATCTTGTTTCACATCGCCTAGAGCCAAACATCCAACAACCTCAGTCAATCGTTCATCGATCAGAGCTTAGAAAACGATCACATGGCGTGTTTTCAATCGATCAGCCTCAAAAATTAGAACAGCAATGTTGAAATATGTTGCACTTATTAACAGGTCGGACCAAAAAGCACTCCTTGACTTAATGAAGTTCATGTCAATTGCTTGACATACTAAGCAAATTTTCGGTTCGTTAATTTTCGGAGTATCTAAAAATTGAACTGACATTGAAAATATATTAATCTATGCAAAATTTTAACAAAACTGAACTACTTCTCCGTATTTCTGCTGAATTTAATTTCACTAATGCTAAAGAACAGAACCAAAACTACCATTGTGAACAAAACTCCACCACATGAAATAATTGCTGAATTAACAAAATGAGGTTGATGTTTTAGGGTGTCGTTCCAATTTAAAAGTACATTTCAAATGCGACTGGGAATTAGGTACGTTGGCGTATTGAAGGGTACTTCAATTCAGTCGAGATGTTCAAACAATGCACGTCATTTATGTGTCTTTTCAGCTGACACACGTCAACACAGTTTTCCACCATCTTTTCATTTAAGCGTCAAAAGAATTTGCACTACATAAAATTTGTAATATTTCATCTGATACAAGGCTTGGTTGTCTACGTGCTGCTGCGAAACACACCGGGAAAATCATTTTTTTAAACCCGAATAAAGGCATTATCTGTCAATTTACGCGTCAAACTAATTCGTAGTGAAATCCCACAAAAGACATCGCTCTCAGCAACCTTTATGGGACACAACTGCATTATGTCTCATGTTTTGAACTGGTTATGATTGACTGATTTAACCGGTCGTTGTCTTCATTCTATTCTTTCAATTAACTTATCCGGATTTTTGAGATTTAGGCAGGTTGTATTCAAACGCTGTCACAAATTCTCGTAGCCCGCACTCGATAAAAATCATCGTTAAAGATATTTTCTACTGAGCTTAAATAGTTGCTTTTCCTTTCTTGGTGTACTTCTTTCATCTGAACTGGAGAAGGGTAAAAATAAGGTCAACTTGGTTTATCGTAATATTTTCTCCGATAAAGATGCAAATAATAAAAAGAGAAAAATATCATCACAAATCAGAAATAGAGATGTATAAAGAGAGAGAATAGTAAAAGCTAATGATAGAGGCTAAGAGAGGGTCTCTTCTTCTGTTCTGCCAATCGATGCGGATGGTGATCGAATCTTGAGTGACATGGACATTCATCTCCTCAGAGATTGATGTGATTAGGCCGAGGAGCTAGTGCACCCTCTTTTGAAGCACCTGAAACAGCCATTGAGACTTTAGAACAGTTGCTAATTCAAGTGCACGGATATTTAACACAGAGGCGAAGCTGAACTACGCCAACACAAGCAAAAGGTGTTTGAGAAATGCAAAAAAAATTACTAAATAGGTATTGAAAGAAAATAAGCTTTGAAGCGGATAAAACACATGCGTAAACAGCGAAATAGAATTAAAAATTGAACACAAAAGTTGAAATGTACCGCTTCGGCTGGAAAATATAGAGCCAGCTCGTATTATCACACAAGCGCTAGCTTGCGTTTAAAGATTTGTGGACTAAAAAACTATAGACAATTTTTCCAAAAAGCCGCAATTTGTTGACAAACTGATTTATCCAAAACCCAGGCTTAATTAATGTTTTATTATATTCTTTTCGTTATATGCACCGGGTTGAGTTATAGGAGCAATGATTTGTAATTAGACCAGATCACCGAGTATGAACATCCAAGTGGAGCAAAAAATTGATCTACTTAACAATCTCCACCCCTTTCAAGAAAGGAGGGATTGTTAAGTAGATCAAAATGGTCGATTTTTCGACCAATCAGAATGCAGCAAAATTAGAATTCTCAATAGAAAGCTCAGTGCTATTGTACTGAATTTATTGATAGGGGTGGAGATTCTTAAGTAGGTAGCATGGGGGGGGGGGGAGATTGTTAAGTAGATCCTCTTGTATTTATAATTGGCTAATCTGAGCGCATTTTTTTTATAAATCAAAACTGTTCAAACAACTGACGCCTTAAAGCGGTCCTAACATCTTTCATCTTCGCCAATAATAACGTCGCTCAGAAGTTATAAACTGCTATTTGAATCAAGTACAGCGAGCGAAGAAAAGCTCGTAAGTATCGTCGTCTCCTTTTTCCAGTTAATGGATTAAGTATACTTCATATTGGGCCAAATTTTTAAGACTAGTTGAAACGACTTCCAACATGGCAACAAATTTAACATAAATACAATAATTCCTACAAAAGCTTATGCGATTAAATGAACCAGAACGTCCCCTCTCTTTTTCATCTCACCAGTGCTACCTTCTTTGGTCCGGAAAAAATAAATATTCCAGTCTACTTTTTAAATTACAAAGCTTCTAGTTGCAAATCCCTCAAAATTGGTCCAGTTTATTTTTAGCACTCTTTTCTTCCCCTCGCCAATCTACCGCTGCCTTTATTGGTCTTCTTTTTATCTAGCGCAATTGCGGAAGACAATTTGATGCCAACTAGTCTGATTCTGATATCTCCATGGAAATATTTGAACATGTACTAGTGCAGATAAGGCATTTCTAGCAACTCTTTTGGGATCCATTAGAGCTATTTAAGAGCCGCACATTCCGAGTGAAGCTACACGTTCAATGACAATCCCCCGTAGACTTCGCCTTCTAAGCACGTATCTCCCCGGGAAAGACCTCAATTTAGCGGGGTCCGAAGGTGGGCGGTCTTTTGGCACAAAGGCTGCTCTATTTATCAAAAGGTAGTCCATTCGATCGGGAGTATATTTAGAACTAGATCTCGACCCCAGTACTATTCTATTCCTTCTAACCGCCCGCGCGGTTAAATCAATTTGAATGTATTTTAAGCCCGAATTGAACACTAATTATAGGCGGCGGCTAATACTGGATCGTTTTTAGTATCATCTAATGACTCTGCACTTTACAATTATTATTTTCTACAGCCCCGGGAAACGAAATAAGTATCATGACAAGCTAGGTCATTAGAAACCGTTCCTTTTGAGCTAGACGCCAACTAGGAACAAGCTAAGCAATTGCCATAATAAACGATCCCCCATAATAAATGAAAATAGACGGAACTGGAAAAAAAATCAAGTAATCGCTTTAAAATCCTAAAAAAAGACTATTTCTATTTCATTAGCCATTCTAATTTATTATCAACCCCAGGCGGTCGCAGATAGGTGGGTGCATCACTGTATGTCAATTTACCAAATATGTAATGCCAATTGAGATTAAATACACTAACAATACGTATAACTTGGTAACAGGTTGTCAGAAGGCGTATCTTCTAGTAGTTTATGGTGTCAATACTAATAACACTTCGCATTCTCAGGCACATAAATGTTAGCCTTCTCAGGGACAGAGGCAAATTACAATTTTACAAAACCAGACGTGCTTTAGGGCAATTGCGAACCCCCAAAAAATTGCTCCGTCACCATAAAAATCAAACAGATACCCAAAACTGCAGACGAACAATAACTTGCTGTAAATGACGACTAACGCTTGAAGTCTGAACTTCTGATCATACACTACATCTGCATTCTTTCAGTGAGATAATGTTTTTTTGGGGCAAAATCTGATAAGCTGACTGAAATAATCTTTAAAGGCTAGCGTAATCGATGGTTGTGCCATTAGCCCCAAGGTTCCAACCACAACAATTATATTTTCTTGCCCCCAAGTTTCTTCCTGCGGAAGGTTATTATCATCCATTTCGCCGTACCTGTTTGCACGTTGACCAGAGTTATTAATAATAAAGTAATAGAAAAATTATGTACGCGATCGAAGCTAATTTTCGCAATTTTTTCCAAACTGCTGTCTGTAATTTAAACTGTTGTCGGCTTTGCATCAAACAATACACTGTAAAAAACAAGTTGAGCACAAAGCGATGGTCATTTCTTTCGTAACACTCAGACACTCACTTGCATTGCGAGATGGAGGTGAAGTTGCAGCAGAAACACAGCGAGAGCAGTCGTTGGCTCCTGCCTGGGTTCGCTATTCGCTGGTTGAACTCGTCGAAGATGTGGCCATGGCACTCCTCTGGCAGCGCCTACATGTGAGCAAACACCAATTCAGCTCATTTTTTGAAACAGCTCAATTTCAAAAAAAGCTTGAATACGTGTTTTTATTGTTCCGACTTTCGTAACGAAGTAACGGAACATTTGTGCTGCTCGGGTGGTTTTGACAAGGCCTTCGGTTGAGGGGTACTGACTGCACACTGGGGGGTGGTGTTCTTTGCCTTCTTTATTAGGTGGGGTGGGGTTACCTCATTACTACTAATTCAAACACTACAGTATTTCACGGCGTGTTTGCTTTAGTACCGGATTTTTTGAGTCGAGAGGTAGAGTGGGATGGGGGAGTGTTGGCACCCCTTTATCTATTTGACACCCTCAGCTCTCACATGCTTGTCCCTTCCTTCGCTACTTTTTACGACAGTAACTGGCCTATTAGCATATGGATGATTAGGATTCCCATATAGATAGATAGTTGACTCGCTAGCTATTTCAAGATGAAAATTTTCAAAAAAAATTGATAAGGTGAAAAGGAATTTAACTTCCGTTTACAAACAAGTGATTTTTCATGATAATTGAAATAAGGCTAGATTGTTTTTCCTCTGCATGAACCCATAACTGAAACAATATCGCATGCCAATAAGTACACATTCTTATCTATTCTCTCCCTGTTACGACATCCATTGTTGTCCGAACAAACAAAAACTTTCCGAAGCGCATTCAGCGCTAATATATACAAATTTACAGAGGAAAGCGCGCGCCAAACAATAAGTTTTTTTGGTCAGATGATTCCGAAAAGTGTTCAAAAACAGCATTTTTGTCTCAATTTAATATCCACTGCTTAACTTGAGACTTTTTGATTTTGATGGAATCTCGAATTTTTATATTTTTTTAGATATGCGCAACCCCCCTTAGCCCGATTCTTTGTGGGAAATGGTAGGTGTGGTTGATGTTGGTTGTGCTACCTTGGTGCGTGGAATGTCCCTGAGTCGGGTGAGTAGCACCTTGAGTCTCTCCTTGCAGTCACTCTCCGACTCACTCTGGTACAGGGCACACGTCTCCATGTGCTCCTCAGTAGGTGTCTACAACAAACACAACATTCTATCCCACAATATCCCGCCACTTACATCACACACTTTTCAACACTTCAACAACACAATAAAATTTACGCAATTTTCGCCAAAAAATCAACATTTTATTTTGCCATAGCTGAAAGAACTTATATATGATAGATTAATCGACACATTAAGTGAGGTTCATTTGTGCTAGTTGTACAAATAAAGCTCAATTTATGTGTTGATTAATTTATCATAAAAAGCTTTTTCAGTCATGGCAAAAAAAATGTCGATGTTTTGATGAACGACCGTTTACACAGCATCATTATAGCGCCCAACATGCGAGTTTTTATCGTGTTTTTGGATCGCAGAAATCAATTTGATTAACATAAAATCAAAAAGATAGCCAACAGACCATTAGAAAAGAGTCATGAACGCAAGATAATCGAAACATAGCCAATCGAAGATTGGAAAAGAGTAATGAACGCAAGCGAACAAAAAAAAACACTGACTTTCTTGAAAAATGTCAACTTTCGAATTTCAAAGAAAAAAATAGATGCCCTTCAAGCTCTTCAAATTTCTAGAGCAATTTATGATTGGCGCTTTTTTGATAACATAAACCCAACTTGAGAAAACTGGATCAATAGGTTAAATTTTTATTCAGCTGCGAAATCTTAAAAATAAACTTCGAAACTAAAAATTGTTCGTTTTTTCGCGCAATTTCCACGTTCGTATTTGGAGAGTGCTATTTACGTCACGTTCAGCAGATGAATTTTAATTAAACTCAAAAACTGCATTATACATAAGTGTATCAATATTTGCAGACTTTTTCCTGAAAAAAAAACCAAAAAAAATCAGCAAGACCTATAAAAGAGTCTTCACTACGCTCATGATTCTTAAAAACTTATCCCACCCACCCAACAAAAAATACGCCCCTGAAACTTTTTCAAACAATCCACTTCAACTGAAAATAATGATGCAGTTCAAAAATCTTCCTAAGCCTAGGTAAACTATGCTTTTAACTGATAAAAAGCAGTTTCAGGGAAATGGAGCAAAGCCATTAGTCTGATTTAAGTCTACAAATTGCATCCCAGCGGAATTTGTTTTCAGTTAAATTTGTATGGCTCATTCGGCACCTGAGATTTCATCAAGCGTAATTGGTGCCTTTGAAAAATCAATTAGTCTATTATTTTTGAAGTCAGCACAAACACGAAAAAAGAGCTCCCCCCATGGAGTCAGAATCGATTCAGCCAAGACCCAATTATCACTTGATGAAGCAGTTTTCAGCTTACAAATTTGATTTGTCAATAAATAACTTTTGGCAGAAAATCTGATTTGCAGAAAAATATACGTAAAATAAGTCAAGGTAGACTATTTGTCCTCGAGGGAAAGGATGAACAAACGAGCTGTTCAGCTATCAGCGAAGAGCCTCTGTTGTGCCCTTGTTTTACAATTACATGTAATTTTGTTTATTTTCTGGTCTGATAGCTTTATGCCCTCAAACAACGAATTCTGATCGCGGTGGGCCTCGAACAACTGACCTTTCGATTATGATATTAAGACTTAATAGCCACTCCTTGTCGCTTCTCTTGAGCCAATCAGAACAAAGTATTGAAAAGTTGATAGAAATGAGCTGGAAAATCAGTCAGCTTTGGACAGTTTAAATAATGTATTTTCGAAAATGCTGTCATGGAACTAGTCCCACTTAAAGAAACAGATCAAAAATTACAGCGCAAAATTAACCATTTTGCAAAAATAATCAATTAGGAGAGAAAATCAATGATTTTTTTTTGCTTGGAGGCTTCACGAAAATAATAAAATTTAAGAGGAGACACAGAGCACCGAATTAAAAATTTATCTTTTCAAATCGAAGAAAAACAACCAAAACAAAGATAACGAAAGTGATTTGGAGTGTCTTTACCAACTATAATTTCCTCTCCTTCTGTTTCAAGTGTGCGAAGTTATTTCGTTCAAGTTGAACTTAGCTACCAATTTTTGCTATTTGCATTTTGAATGAACCCCGTAGCTAGAGCTACAAATTCGTTACAGAAAGTGGCGTATAAATATTGACAAGCTCAGGCCTCAGGGAATGTAGAAACCCACTAATTCAGTGCTCAATTTCCGTTTCAACAGTTAAGTTCGACCACTTAAAGGAGAATTCGAACAATTTTTATCCTGAAAATGAACACTTGGGCCAAATAAGAAATTTGACAGCAATTGCGATTCATTTAACAGTAACGGGAACTTAGTTTCAGTTACTTGCAATCAGCAAAGCAAGGGCGCAACTTATCAGCCAGCAGGGTACTTCAGCTCAAATTCAGCCTATTATCAGAGCAAATAGAATTTGACACCATGAGACATATTCAATTAGATTGGCCTTCAGGCCCTTCAAATGAACAGGTTAAAATAGCGCCTAAGTAGCCAAGAACTAGAAAACTACAGGGAGCAAAAAAATACTTGATAGCCATTTAAATAGCATATTTTGATGAAATCAACTCCAACTCAGAAATTCGGATCAAACGGTACTCTATCTAGCTGCTGGTTGTGTTGAAATTGAACACTTTCACAAAACTGAAAATAATATTTTCGTGCATTTCTTTTTTAGCTAATAACCAAGGAATTTTAGGCTCTGATGCTGATTGCTCTGACAAAAAAAAACATAGCCTACAGACACTTGGAAGAGACAATGAAAGCAACAATACAGTAAACTGACTTAATTTAAAACAAAAAAACTTTAAGATTCGAAACAAAAACTAAAAAATATTTGGCCTTAATGGTTTTTAAATTTCATGCCACTTGATTGACATTTAATTGATAAGATTAAAACAATTCGAGAAAAAAGGATAAATATCTAAAATTGTTATTCCGCCGTGAAATCTGAAAACTAAAATCCACTTTCAAATTTAGAAGTCAATGAATGACGTTGTTCGTGACCTTTACAATTTTACTGTTCGATCGTGGAATTTGCCTTCTTTTAAGCAAAGGAAATGAACTGAACTTAAAAAATCAAAGCCAAATAACGAAAAATCAAATTTGAGCTTCAACAAATTTCAAGACTTTTTCTTCATCAGTACCTATACAAAGTCATCACTATGTTCATCCACTCTTCAAAGACAAAACTATTACGAGCTATTTAAATGTCTTCATTACCTCCATCCAAAATTAAAACCCAAATCAAAAAGAAACCATTAAAATTAGGCATTTAGGTTCAACAAGCGATTGAACCTTGAAATATTTCAAGTTTTTCTGTAGATCAAATTTATTAGCAAAAAACCAAGTTTCGCTATACAAGCTATTAGATTTAAGCTTTGAAACACTTCAAACTATTTCATATGGCAAAAACTTTAAGTTTTTCTGTTGGAGCCAATCAAGCTATGGAACTTTTTAATACTTCAAGTTATTTGAAAGATCAAATTATTTAGAAAAAATCCAAGTTTTGCTATGCAAGCTATTAAATTTAAGCTTTGAAACACTTCAAACTATTTCATATGGCATAAACTTCAAGTTTTTCTTTTGGAGCCAATAAAGCGATGGAACTTTGAAATACTTCAAATTACTCGAAAGATCAAATTGATTAGCAAAAATCCAAGTTTTGCTATGCAAGCTATTAGATTTAAGCTTTGAAATACTTCAACATTTTTAGTTGAACGAATCGGTTCACGAAAAGGTAATGTTTTTCTAAAGCAAATGTTTCAAGCTATATGAAATGTTTCAAGCTACTTCATAGACCAAATCGTTTTTCTAAAACTCGAGTTTTCTATGCAAGCTATAAATCTTTGAAAATACAGCAAATCGGATAGCGAAAAAAATAAAATTTAATTTGAAGCCATTCAATCAATGAAACATTGATTTTCTGAAATTATTTCATGAAGTTAATCGGATAGGAAAAACTTGAAGTTTTTCCATTGGAGTCAATCAAGCGATGAAACTTTGAAATAACTCAAGATACTTCAGAGATCAAAGTGATAGGTAAAAAAAGTAACAAGTTTTGCTATGCTAGATATTTAGCTTAAGCTTTAAAACACTTGAACTTAATTCTTAGACCGAATCGGTTCACCAAAAACTTATGTTTTTCTTGAGCAAGCTATTCAAGCTATGAAAAATATACAGCTATTTCATCGACCGAATCCGTTTCGATCAAGTTTCAGTTTTTCCTAGCAAGCTATTCAAGTTGTGAAATATTTCAAGTAAATTCGTAGATCGAATCGAATGATGAAATTTTTTGATATTTTCATGCAAGCTATGAAACTTTGAATTATTTCAAATTATTTTATGGACAAATCAGTGCGTGAAAAGTTCAAGTTTTTCTAAGAGAAGCGGATAGCGAAAAGTTTTTTATTTAGAGTCACTCAACCGATGAGTTTTTTTGAAAATTTTCAAATTATTTATTAGACTGAATCGGTTAGCCAAAAGCTTTAATTTTTCTAAGCAAGCATTCAAAGCTATGAAATTTTGAACTTTTTCATATTAATTCAGAGATTGAGTCGGTTTGCGAAAAACTTCAAGTTTTTCTTAGCAAGCTATTGAAGTTATGAAATTTCAAAATATTTCAATTTATATCATAGACCGAATCGGTTCGCAAAATTTTTTTCTTAGCGTGGAGGTTGCTGTTTTGAAGTGATTCGTTCCAGACTGAAATGAATCTGTAAACGGAAAATTTTGGACAAGAATTAGACAGGTATTGTCTAGCCTTGAATTTGGACCGAGTTTATCTTCCCCTGATGGTTTCTCTGAATGATACTTGAGCGTTAAGCTCGATATTCCTTTTAAACATTGTCTCCCAATAATTCTTAAGCTGTGTTCAGTTAAACATTGCGTCCATAGCGCATTCCGACTTTCATTTAATATATAAGATTAACTTGAAACCAATTATCATTTTAGTGTCAAAACACGAATTGACTAAAAATTTCATTTTAAAGCTCTAAATTGAGCGCTTCTTTTGTGCGGTGCGCGCGGCCGATATATCCCAACACAGAAGTGATGCGATGATGCGAATATATCCCAGTGTGAAAGTGAGGTAACATATCCCAGCGCAGAAAAAATAAGCGAAAAGATATTTGGACGCAATGGTAACGTGCTCCAGAAAATTCTGCGTGCTCCAGAAAATTCTTGTACCGATCAGCACAAAGATTAAATTCAAGGCGACGCAACATATATGTAATGAAAACCGCGACAAACGAAACAAGGTTTGCCTCTATGAGTTGTCTTTTTGCCCATTCTTTTCATGCCCTTTTCATCTGTCTATAACCCTTTCCATCAGTGAATAACTTACAAATTAAAATTATATGCAGATGATATTTCTGTTACACCTCAGAATTTGGAAAAGTGATTCAATTTTACGTAACCGATCTAAACAATTGGCTTGACAAATGGAACTTGAAAGACGGCACATAAAATTTCAGAAATTATCGAAACCAATTGGAACCAAGAATGGAACTAAGGTCATAGACAAAACAAACATCTTCTATCCTTAAATCGAAAACCTAAAAAGTGAGTCTCGTTCAAAAGATCAACAAACTCGGTTAAAATATAGCACTTAGAATTGTAACGATGCACAAAAATGACCTTCTGATGCTCTAATACACCCGGAAAATGAAATCAATGAAAAGAACCAATCAATCATGCGTTCTTCTAAAACTCTTCTTAAATGAAACATAGCCAATCGAAGATTGGAAAAGAGTAATGAACGCAAATGAACATAAAAAAAACACTGACTTTCTTGAAAAATCTCAGCTTTCGAATTTCAAAGAAAAAAATAGATGCCCTTCAATTTATGATTGCCGCTTTTTTGATATCATTAACCCAGCTTAAGAAAACTGGATCAACAGGTAAAGTTTTTATTCCGCTGGAAATCTACAAATTAAATGCCACTTTCGAAACTAGAAATCCTTCACGAATTTTCGCGCCATTTGAACGTTTGTATTTAGAGAGTGCTATTTACGTCACTTTCAGCAGATGAATTTCAATTGAACTCAAAAAGTGCATATATATATAGCTAAAAGGATCAATATTTTCAAGAATTTTTCCTTCACTGCGTTCATTACTCTTAAAAATTAACCAAAAACCTGATTGTTCGACTTTTGAAGAAAGTGAGGAATCTATATGCTTCGGAATTTTTTTTATTCAACATTTTCTTAAAAAAATGTTGAGTGGGGATCGAACCTGGAATCTACGTGGTTTTAAGCGAGTATATAAGCGCGGGCGCGAGTATATAAGACTAACAATGATGCTGAGAACGTTAAACGAATCATCATCCCGCACACCAAAATTTTCCGAATTGAAAGCAGGCAAATTTTTTTAGTGATGTTTTCAGTAACGACTCAATCAGTAACACCTAACATTTGATATTGACGGTCCAAAATTTATGTTTTATCAAAAATTTCCTTGCCAAAAAATTGAAGACCAAATAAACGGCAGTCGGAACATTCGCGGCTTTGCCCTAATATACACGCAGCCTTGTTAAGTTTTTACAAACAATATCAACAGATATTGCTTTCTGCAAATCAATGGCAAAAGTCGGTAAGTAGATCAATTTTGCACAAAATAAGGCAAATATGCAAATGAACAAACAAATGCATTTCGTTGCCGCTGTCCTGAACCTAAGCGGCATATAATACGTCGTTTACAAAGAATTAATAGACGTTAAAAACGTTAAGAAATAAAAAGTGCAACAACAGAGCCTAATTACCATATCAATCTATGATTAAACTTCCTAGTTTACACTTTGAAAGCTCCGTTCTAAGGGAAACATTTACCAAATATTGATAAAAAATGTCTTTCAACGCAATAAACACCAACATTTTCTTAGTTTGGTCTGAGTTTTTCAGACAAATCGGCTATTAAAATCGTTATCAACTGTGGAGTTCTCATTTACTTAGACCCAAAAATTCAAATTTAGAAGCCTCTTAGGTTGCAGTTTGTTTGAATTCAAATTTCAAATAGACAACAGCCTGGATTCAATGTAAACACTGATTAAAACTAGCCTTTGAACGCATTACCGCCGCATGCAATAAAATTTGTAGCAATAAAATGGCAGTTTTGCGAATGGGTCTGAAAATTCACATTTAATTCAAGCAAATCAATGTCGCTAATTTCGTTCAAATCGCCTAAAGAAGCCAAAATAGATAGTTTTGATTAAACCTGCAAAGCATTAATTGCTCTGTCGAATTAAAATTGAAAAAAAATTGCATTGCCCATTAAGAGAAAAACCGGAGGTCATTTTTTGCAGATGGTAGATTGATTTGGTGTCTTTGAAGAGTCTTCGGAAAAACACCGGACATGAATGACTCTAATTGTGTCTTTAACGATCCCGTAGGGCCTTCAAAAAATACATAAGCGCAGTCTGGACTCTTTGTTTATAAACAAGTCCAATAGCCTGGGGTACCTATGTGTACCATAAAATAGCTACTGAGATCTGAGCATTTGTAGTAAAAACGCAAAGTTATTGCCCTTTTGTTATCATTAAGCATGGGAGGAACTACATAAGCAATATGTACAGACATGCCTATAAAGCATCAAATTAATTCAAGGATTGTTTATTCCCTAATAACTATATTTTTTCTTTTCTTTTAAATATTATATTTTCTCCCAAGAGTGATATTAAAATTTTAAAAATCATAGCTTAAGCTGATAGTTCACTTTTTGTCAAGATCAGAACAGAGGTCAAGCGGATTTTGCATCTTTTGCGGTGCAGTACAAAAAATAACTGAGCTGCAGAAAATCTAAACTGAAATTCTCCAGGAAACATAATACGCAATCGCATTTAATTTATATAAATAAAAAAACGTTTTTCTCAATAAAAAACTATTGTGAACAAATTTCTCCATACCTCATACCGTTTTATCACGCAATTAGCCATAATAGCATTAATAACTAATGTGAAAATAAAAAGTTTGCCATAATAGCATTAAAAATTAATATATAAAAAAATACATGTGGGAGGAGTGAAAAACGGCATATGAATGATGTTATTTGAGTTAGTGTTTTGTACTTGTACGATATACGATGACACATTATATGTAATAAAAAGAATTTTATACTATATAAGATTATGCGACAGACAGGATTATAGGTTGAATTAAACAACCATACGAAAACAATAATTGGCATTTTTTTTACTTGGGATCAAGATTTTCGTTTGTATTGTATCACGTCTAACATACTGGTTTAAAAGTAGTAAGTTGTGTACTCACTTCTGGGTCAGGATATCGTTTGGTCATGTGGTGCATCCGATTCACCTCCTGCTCCAACAATTCAATGCACCCGGTCATCATAGTTCCTAAGAGGCGGTAGTGCGGATGTAGCAACAGACACTAAACAGGTCATCATCGTTCACACAATAATCAATTAGAGCCAACAGAAAGTTGGAAAAGAGTCAATGAACGCAAGTAAACAGGAAAAAAAAACGGACTTGTTTTTATAAAAACCTCAACTTTCGATCTTCAAAGAAAAAAGATGCCCTTTGTTCATGACATGAATTATTAATCATCACATGATTATCAATAAAAAACCGTAAATTGACGCCAAAATTGGTAGTTTAGATGAATTGTTCAAAAATTAGTAGCAAAAGAGCGAATCATCACAACTTAAGTAACCTCAAACCACTTTGAATTTCTTGAACTATTAATGATTGGCAGTTTTTGGACCAATAATAATGAGAAAACTGGAACAATAATAAAACTGTTATTTTGCTGGAAAACTGAAAATTAAATACCATTTTCGAAACTAAAAGTCGATCACGTTTTTCGTGATCTTTACACTTTTGCTGTTCGATAGTGGAGTTTGTCTTCCTTTCAACAAAAGAAATGAACTGGTTACAAAAAAAACAAAGTAAAACCACAAAAAAAAACTAAAATTGAGCCGAACAAAAATATTACATTTTTTCTGAAGAAAAAAAATCATCACTACCTATATTAGAGTCTGAACGACGTTCATCTTTTGGTTATAAAGTACCAAAAACAGCTCGCTCAATAACTGTACTTTGGAGTTGCTTGCATTGTTTAACACATGGGCGAAGCTGAGCTTCGCACCACTTAAGATACAAAAGAAAAAATGAAAAAGGTCGAAAGAACTATATCTATTAAAATGAATACGGCTAGTTTTGAAACAAAAACATGACACGACAATAGAATGTGTAATAAGCATCGTAAGATAATGTAACCAGCGGTAACAAAGCCGAAAATACCTTGTCAGAAACCCTTTAAGGCTAAAACAAAATCAACAAGAATTCAGACACTATATTTGCACGTCAAAAGCAACAATATGAAGACACTAAACCGATATAATATAAACCTATTAAACCAAAAAAAAGGAAAAGAAAAAAGCCAAAAAAAAAATCAAAAAACATGAAGACTTAAAACACAGACACGCACACACAAAACTTTTTTCGCGTGTCGAAAGACGCAATATGAGGCTAATAAGCTGATACAATATACGCTGAAACCTATCAAGCCAAAAAAATTGTTATCATGAAAAACTTCAGAAATTTATTAATTATCAATTAAGAAATTAAGCATTTTGCTCGATCCAGAGGTGAGCATAAAAAACATGTTTCCGTTGAAAAGACTCGAAATTAGGTCACTACGCCAATAAAAAATAGGCCGAAATCATTTGCTCGGAAAAATATATATATACGAAGTCAATTTTAGTAAAATTACAAATACCAGAGGTTAATCAGAACACTAAAAGCAACTATAATGTAAAAAAAATTTTTTATAAATCTTGTGGCAACTAAGCCAACAAAACATAAGCAGACAATAAAAAGCCGAAAATTTTTTTGAAACGTACTACTTTCCGTTAAAAAAAACAGGTCCGGTCAGTTTGGCGTTTATAAAAGTCTATATTCCAGTTTGATAACGCTTGCTCATCGCATAAGAGTAATAATAATAATAAATTGTTTTCATATCAGAGATTATTCGTAAGATATTTGTCAATTTACATAAAATGTTTCTCCGCTCAACGCGACATTTGTAAACTAATACATACACTGAAAAGTGGGCTTTATGTTGAATGATTTTCCACGACAAGGTATCAGCATACCAATTTACAGCGCATAAAAACAAACAAAATGAATCTGTTTCGGCTCCATCATTTTATTTAGTCTACTTTCTTGTTGGGTAAAGAGTGAAGTTGGGGTGGTCGTGTGCATAGGTGGATGTTTACTGTGCCTGATTTGTTTCTACGCCTTCCAGGAGTTCTTAAGTTTTCAACTTCAATTCAATCGAGGCAAAATCGATCAAATGAAATTCAAACAACCTTCAAAACTCAAGGTTTTTTAAGCCTAAAAACGGCGTTCATTAAAACGGTGTTTAATAAGAAGCCATCTATGTAGCGTGTACCTCGTTTCGGATATGGGGTGCGATAAGGTCACTGCAGGTGTCAGCCATGGTCACCGCTCTCTCCGCCACACTGGCTATGTCCTCCCTCAGAATGTGAGTGTCACAGCCACTGCCCACACACCTGACCATACACAACACATCACATCACATCACAATCATCATTAAAAGCACCCACGACAAGTCAGAATAAAACACTGCGCACTTTAACAAAAATCCTCTCATCCATATTATACAAGGAGATAATTCGGTACTAAATTTTGATTAGCTCATTTAAGACCATTTATCCACAAGGGAATGGACCAATATACGAGCTGTACAGCTCATCACGGCGAACCGCTGTTGTGCCCCTGCTTAAGAACTACATGCAATTTTTTTGGTTACTTTTCTGGTCTGGGTAATGTTGCCTCACCCTCAAGCAACGAGCACTGACCATGGTGAGCCTCGAACATCCGACCTTTCGATTGATAGGCGGAGACCTAACCGCTTCACCACCGCTCCCCCGGTACTATATCCAGCCACTATTTGCATACTAGTCCGATTAACCGTTGAATTATGTATTGATTGGGATGAGGTTCTTTTCTAGACACCGTAGGTGGTGGATAGCTGCAGGAATCCACAGGATCCAAAAAAAATCAATGCTCGAATTGATTAGAACGCTGTTTATTGATCAGGGGAAAGATAACTTAGGTGTTCAGCTTTACAGCGATTCACTGTTGACCCCTTGTTATATTTTGCAGGTTTCTGTTTATTTACACGCCTAAATACAATCTAGCTCATAAGTAACAAAAATGCTCTATGGTTCAGCATACACCTTTTGGGAGCTACAATCACCCAAATTTGGAATAAAAATGTTTTCTTCTGGGTTTATTTAACAGAAACTATTTTGATCAAACGCCAATATAAGTTTCAGGAAGATATTTTTTCGTTTATTAATCACCAGCTTTTTCTTTAAATAATAACAGAGGTGCTTTTGCTTCAAGATACAGCATTTGTAAGCAACAACAAACTAGAAACTTTTTCGATATTGAAAATAGAAGTGATATATTCAAATAAAATTGGACCAAATGATAGAACAAGATATTCTGTGACAATTTTAAAACAGCATACGATTCAATTTTATTCATTGTTGCCGTAAGAAGCAAAACGCTTGAAATTCGTGGAAAATTAAAAAAATATATCATGAAACCGCCATGATCAATGTACAAAAGCGTGAACTGAGCAAAAACACAAAAGATGTCATTACAAATAAAAGAACACAGAGGTGAAGCTGAGCTTTGCGCCACTTGCGATACAAAAATGCAAAAAATATAAAAGGTGTCTCGAATGAAAAGTGAAAAACTATAATGAGTTCTGTTGAAAAAATCGTAGGCTCAAAACATTTAAAAACACTCCATTGCGATTGTTACGAAAATCAATAGCCTAAAACATAACAAGGATTCGGGTTACGCAAATTCCATTCATTTCTTTTTCATAACCAATAGAGAAAAACGCTCAGAAAAAAATTAGCAAAAAAATCGAGATCCTTAAGTTTTAAAATGTACTCTTAAAAACACTTTGCTTAAAATCTTGCCAGTATGCAAATTGCATATCCTACAGGAAAAAATGACTATAAACATCAACAGGAAAACTTGCTTTACCTTGAGAGAAAAAAAAAAGAAAAAAGTTAGAAAAAAAAGAACGCTAAATTCAAATAATTTCCTCGTAAAATAACAGGCAGAAAATCAGAAAAGAAACTGATAACTTACAACAAAAACCTAATTACATCAAATTTATGAAATACGAACTTGATACGCAACTTTAAGACAACTGCATCAGTACAAAACAAGAAAACATAAAATAAGACAAAAATGCCTGTAAAGGAAATAAAAAATAAGAAACTTCATTATTTTCAAAAACTTAAGCTGAAAAACGCACTGCTGAATCTGGTGCGACATTTGTCATGTATCTTTGCGGACAAAATACTCACGTTAAACTTTTCGAACAATTTTGACGTATGAAAACAATACGCTACGCCATCAACTTGTATGGATTCAAAATCAAATTGCTGAACCCTATAAAACACCGATAAATTAAAACTACAATTAATTCCACGCTTTTTTAGATAAAAATAAATCAGAAACCTGGTATTCTCAAAAACTGAAAACTTGACGCAATTTTTTAAATTCAAAAAACTTTTCTTTTCGAACAAAAACTTTTGGCGTGTTTAAAAATCAGGAAACTACGAACTATTTCAACGCTCTTCAAATTAAAAAAAATATAGAAGTAAAACCCCCGGCCAGTATGCCGACAAAAATTGTAACGAAACTATTGACCGGACCAACAAACCAATTTATATCAGAAAATTTTGTGAGAACAAAAGAGCATAAAAATTATCTTTTGCTGGAAATACAGAAAATGGAAGAAACATAAACCGATAAAATATAAGCCGAAAAAACAAAATATACGTAAGTCGAGGCTAGTGAAATTCAAAAAGCAATAAATCAAAACATTACAATCAACTACAATGTGCAATGCGTACTGCAAAAAAAAACAATTCTACGATGTGACATCTAAGCCGACAAATAATTAGCCGACACTTTTTCTGAAACATAATTTTTCCCGTTGAAAAAAACAAGTTCTGTCAGATTTCTACCAAGGACCTTTGCTGTACCAGGTGTATGCGTTACCTCCAGATAAATTGTGCCGCAAACGCTAAGAAATTTGAATCAATTATGAACTGAACCTAAATATACCAGTTCTAATTTTGACCATTCTGTGAACAAAACTATTTAAGGGAAAAAAGTCTAGTACCCGATTGAAAAACCCAAAGGTTAACTCTATTTCCAAAACAATGAGTTAGTTTTATATTCAACAATTTCTGAAACTCAACTCCTAGCTGTCCACTAAAAAGGAAAAGAACAGCCAGTTCTAGACAAAAATAAGGAAGTCTCCAACAAACAGATTTGGTTAGAATGATTGTAATCGCGATTTAAAATCTCAGAACGAAAACTATATTGCTGGAGTTTTGGCCTCCATAGAATCTCCATAATGATGCTGTTTTTCTTTTTTATTTAATAATTCTGATGTTTATCGAATCACGATTGAAAGAGCCATAATATGATATATCAAAGACTCTATCTGATATAAAAATTGAACTGCACATCTGAATACAAGGTGGCCGAAACAATAAGATTAGAATTATGGGAAATGGCTAAAAATTTGCATCATAATTTTATTTTTCTGACTGAAAATTAACTGTAGCACTCAAACATAAATTATCGTAAAATAAAGTTCATTTAAAACCATTTTTAAAACATAGGCGCTACGCGCAATACACCGAAGGCATAAAAACTGAAGCAAAAACCAAACAACTTGAACAACTAATAATTGAAGAATAACAGTTCTAGAACAAAAAATCGTACTAATACATGTGTACACCAAAATTTTGCTATATCGAGAAAGAGCCTGAAATAACAGTTCTAGAACTAAAAATCGTACTAACACATGTATAGGTTAAATTTTTGATATATCAACGAAGATCATAAAATAACACTTCTAGAACTAAAAATCGTACTAACACATGTATACACCAAAATTTTACTATATTAATAATAAAAGCAAAACTAAATGAAAGAAAGAATAATTAAATAAATAAACAAAACACGTGATAAAAATAAACAAAAATAAATATGTACATACATAAATTATAAATAAATATAAGCAAACTAAACATAATTAAATAAATAGAAGAACAGATAATTAAATAAATAAAGATGAACAAATAAAGAAACAAACATACGCAATCACGTGACATAGCGCGATATAGTCCAGCCCACATGATAATTGATAACTGTGGACGTTATTTGTCGACACTTGACAACAGACAACATTAAAAAAAAAAACCCGTTACACGATACCATAACACCTTGACTAAAGTCTTCGGTGTAAAAAGCTTTTCAAAGATAAACTCAATATGGAACAAGATTAAGGCAAAATTTAGAAAGCGGTAATTCTGCCGATAAAACCGTGGCTCTGAAAAAAAATGATGTCTTAAAAACCTGAGCATGAAAATTTTGAAAATCGAAGTTAAAAATTCTCCCTTAGCATTTAAAACATAATATTTTTCGTCCAACATCTGAAACAATTAGCAATATAACACAAACCAAAATCGAATAAACCTTTAAATTAAAATCAAAACCAAAACCTTTGAGTCGGGAAGTGTCGGGAAAAAACTACTTCGATTAGAACGATTAGATTTAAAATACAAACAGTCAAGATATATCTGTTGCTCCAAACTTCCAACAGGCGGAGGCCAAACTTCCAAAGATTAGATTTAAAATACAAACAGTCAAGATATATCTGTTGCTCCAAACTTCCTGCGCGAGGCCTCCACGAGATGAGCCAAAAAAAATTTTAAAAAATGCGAACAAAATTAATCACGGCAAAAAATTCTCCAATGATCCAGTTTTCTCAAATTGGGTTAATTTTATCAAAAAAGTGCCTATCATAAATTGTTCTAGAAATTCAAAGAGCTTTAAGACCATCTATTTTCAGTATTTTCTGTTTACTTGCGTTCATTGACTCATTTCCAACTGTCTATCGGCTACGTTTTCGCTTAACCATTTTGAAGAAAAAAATAGATGGTCTTAAAGCTCTGTGAATTTGTAGAACAATTTATGATGGACACTTTTTTTGTTAAAATTAACCCAATTTGAGAAAACTCAATCTTAAGTAAAGTTTTTGTTTTGCTGGGAAGTCTGATAATGAGTTTCCATTTTCGAAATTAGAAGCCGATCACTTTTTTGTGATCTTTACACTTTTGCTGTTCGGTAGTGGAAATTGTCTTCCTTTTAACAAAGAAAATGAACTGAACTTAAACAGAAAAGGTCAAACCGCGAAAAAGTAAAATTGAGCACGAAAACTTGAAAGACTTTTCCGGAAAAAATTACGAAAAAAACATCATCGCGGATATATAAGAGTCTGAACTACGTTCATCGAATATTAAAAAAATAAATCAGCCGAAGTATGTGATAAACAATTCAAGCTAGCAAGGCTGAAATGAAAACAAAAACTATTGAAAAGTAAAAACAAAAATGAATCTACTGAACAATCCCCCGCTATCGTGTCTACTCAAGAATCTCCGCCCTTCTAATTTAAAATAGAATTTATTGTCGTCCAATACAATACAAGGGAGTATTTGTTCCTTAATTTAACATTTAACAGCTGTTGCAATTTGACTTTATAATTCTTGGAGCTTTAATTCTGGTTGAATGAGAATTCTGCTTATTTGGCTGAATAATCTACCCAGGGAATCTCCTCCTTTCTCCAAGAAGAGGGAAGGGGAGATTAAAAGTAGATCCAAAAAACTACGATCTACTATTTTAAAAAAAAAAACTCAAATAGCAGCAGCAACAACAGTGGCTCGCACAGGATTTTTTTGACAAGCTGAAATGTTGAATATTATTTTTGAAGATTTTTTGAATATTTTCCAAATTGATTTAGCTCTGTCCAAACCCCAGAATAACCAAATTTGGTATAAAATATGTGTGAAAATGCAATTTTTAGTGCATTTTGGAAGGTATCGACCGCCTTCGACACACTACTTAACAACTACAACAACAACTTAGCTCACCTGACGAGGTGTCTCAAAGTGGCCACTGATAGGTTCAAGTCCTCCACTATCTTCCTGGCGTGGTCCACATCTTTCTCAGTAGGCACTTGGGCTCGATATTTCTTGGGGTCCAACTTGAAATTGAGTACAATTCTTTTCTCTATATTGCGACTTAAGCGCCTCGAATTCATCACTAATGCTGCTGCTCGGAAGGACACCACGTGACTACATAGGACACCACGTGATGTCGGTTCAGCACAGGACTCGCAGCTCAGATAAATTAAGAAATTAACAAGGGTATCCCTATAGGGGTGTAGTTTAGAGCAACAAAAAATATTTAAGATTATAACAGGACCTAATAAGCTGATTTTGGCCAAAAAACTGGTATGGTTGCAGTATATTGGCCGGATATAATAAAAAAAACGAACACGCACGCAAAACGCCGTCTCAAAAAAAAGAAACGCTTAAAATGGTTTTAAGGATGCATAAAACTAAAATGTTATCTGTAATTTTGCGAAGAAGCAAGAAAAGATCGATTAGAAAATGAAATTTCACCACCAATTTGTGGTTAGAATTGGTTTCGCATTCTTGAGCAGAGCTGTCAAAATTATAAGGCTGGCGGAAACTAATTAGTGAACAAATTTTAATATGTAGATACACTAAATTTAGAGCTTACTACTGTTTTTGTCAAATAAAGCAGTTCGAGCCTCGGGAACGGGTAATATTAGCGGAATGTTCTGCCGTACTAAGTGGAGAAAACGGTTGTTTCCTCTCATTTGATGGAAAAATCTTTGTTCGATTCTTTATTAAAGGAGATTAGTCAAATCTGCAGCAATCGATGAACACGTGTACAATGGTAACATTGGTTAAAATAAAAGAGAGAGAATATAATGATTAAATACACACTACTACCACTTTTATTTCTCAGTCAAGTCATTTTGGTATTTTTTGTCAGCTGAAATTTAAATAAATCGCATTAATTTCCCAAATTGAAGTGTTCAATTCAATGGCGCAACACCAGACAAGCTAGTTCAATGGCTGCTGCAGCGGCGGCAGTAGGGGTAGTAAGCTGAAAATCAGGCAACTAGAATAAACGCTTTTAAAGCGCTCCTTTTCTATTTCACTCGATTTTACAGGCTGAAGGGAAGAGAACATTATTTTAGTTTCGAAATTGCAACCAGCCTCCAATCTTTTTGCCCCAATAAAACCACGCCGATTCAAATCGTGTCCTTTCGCACGGGCACGGGTCAATGAAATAAACTTGAACTGGTCAGTGGACTGGTCTTGTTATATTTCGCTACACTAAACGCAGACCAAATTGCAACCTAACAAAATAGCATAACATGCACCGCTATATAGTACAAAATTTGTAGAAAATAAATTAGAAAGGTTATATGGAAATGTATAAGCCTGTTAATGCTGGCTCACTTTTACAGTGGAGGATCATCAGAATTTCTCCGCATCAAATAGCAGAAATTCAATAAACTAAGGAAAACACTAATCTCGCCGCTCTCTAATTGAAAATACTGTCGCGCAGAGTTTAACACACCAAGGGAATTCTGATTTCCTCCCGGCGTATGCTTGTTACAGGCTTTGGACTGTTATTTAAATGCATGGTGATACTGCACTTAGGCGAACGGACGTTTATTTATGAATAGAATTTGAAATCGCTCATGGATTCCCCGTCATTTCAAACCATTTAACGTGAAGCGAAGACGGCGGCGCTTTCGATTTGAACACCATAAGCGAAGCGGCTTAAACGGCAGAGGAGTCGAAAATAACTATTGGTCAATTTAGGAGTCAAAAAGTGACAAATATCCCAGCGTGAATTATTTATATTCAATATCTTTTCAGCCGGAAGAAGGAAACGGCTTCATTGTTTTTATTGCGATACAGCCGCTATTTCGCAATAAAAGCAACTTGTTAATTCTCATACCATAATTTATACAAACTTCTATTCCCTCAAACAAAAAAAGTAAGGCAATTAATTCATGACAAAAGCACCGAGCGCTAGAAAGTTTCTAGTCAATCACTTTTTAATTGTCAAAAACTGACTGTTTTCAACGCTCTTTCGCTTATTTTAACCTAACATTAATGCTGAATACTCTCTTAAATAAACTTTCTGACATTAGACCTTTCTGCCACGCGGCCTAACACCTTTTCCCCTAAAACAATACTACTCCAGTCAATTGCAATAATTTGATGCCATGGGAGAGCAGATCGTCAAAAAATACCTTTTAAAACCCAGTCCAAATTGCCTGCTTATTTCACAAAGCGAAAAGTAAATGCTAAAAGGTGTTGACAATTGTTTACAATCGGGGTAATGGAAAACGGTTTTATTGATTGTGGTTGCAAGACTTGCAGACTGGGTAATAAATCTCAGTACTGTTTATAAAAAATGACAAGTAGCCCGCGGCACTTGTTAAATAGTGGGCTTATATTCACGGATGATTAGTAAAGAAATCCTATTCAATTTACACAAATATTGAGCAAGCTGAATTTGATTTGAGATCAAATAGAACAAGTTGCCATTTTCAAATCCACTTGAACTAGAAAAAGGAAACCAAGCAGCGGTTCTTGAGAGTAATCTGATACCTATATATATTACCATCACTTCACTTATACGATTTTACTAAATCTCAATAGTTCTTAAAAACCTTACGTTCTATAGACCATGTAATGAATATGTATTACAAGCAAAGGATGGGGTACTATTTGAATTTTTGATCAAGTTAACACTCCATAAATGAAGTTAAGATCATCAACCCCAGTGGTTTAATTTGGATTAAACTTGCTAAGCGGTGCGTGTAAAAAGCTCTATTCTGATTGACTGCGAATTAAAACTCAGAGCAAAGCTAGCATCCTCCCCCTAAACGGATTTGGGGTGGAGGGTATTAACTTGGTCAGACTTTTTTTCTTCGAAAAACGACAAACTAATCAAAAGAAACAAAACTATCTTTCCAACTCATTATTACATAAGAAGAGTATGTTTTGCTTCTTTCACACATGTTCTTTCACGACAAGGCATGAATGAAAAATGAAATATTAGAACGCATGAATGAAAACAGAAATCATTTGCATAGTTTCGCGCACTTTTCCGGGCTCTTTCACAATTTTCCGGCATCTTTCCCTCAGAAAGAGCAAAAACATACTCTTCAACAGTTCGAACATAGTTGAAGTTGGCCTCGGGCAAAAGAGCCGCACTCATGCACTTCGTTCCCTCAGGCCGGGCTCTTTTTCCCTCGGGCATCTTTCAACTATGTTCTAACTACTACAAAGAATTAGAATAATCGCATCTACGTGAATAAAAGAGATGAAAATTCACATGCCCGACATTGGAACAATTAAGTAGACCCGGGAGTAACAATGAAGAACTATACTCTTTTGCTGCAAACAAAGCTGTTTTACATCAACAAAGTTTTGCATCAAAAAAAGTTACTAGGAGCAAATTAAGCGAACTTACATCAGAAAGGATAAAATAATTGGCAACATTTTTTGCCATTGAATTCAGATATGTTATTGCTCTGTGGTTTGGATGGGCCAGAATACCCTTCTACTTCACTGTAATATTCTGCATAAATATAGAAAAAGGATAGACGGGAGTCTTTGATCAGAACTTACTCATGTTCAGCAGCATCTACTCCAGCCAAATGCTTCGGAACAACATGATTTTGTTCTCGGACGTGCTTGACCATTTCGTCCACATCCTTCACGTGCCTGCCTTTTGGTGTAGCGCGGATTTCTCTCAGAACGTCAGCAATTTTATCAGGAGTCCCCAGTCTTCCTCCTGTACTAAGTGGCCCCCATTATTCAATATAATGAATCTTCTGACATCAGGAAAAATAACTCAACTGTCGGCCAGTGAATGTCTCCTCAAATCAGTCAAAAGTCGAGATTCCATCTTCTACGAAGTACTCGCAATCTGAAGAGCAAGTGCAGATAATAGATTGGATAATCGCAGCCGAGATTTCGTCGCACCAACTAAATGACTTTTTTAAAAACACCTACGTATTTCCCAGCAAAGGACAAAGAGAAATGTTTTGAAAGTGAAAACACTGCGCAGAAGACCCATGCCAATAATCAGAAGGAGGGAACCAAACCCCAAGTTGCAACTACTCATAACATCTCATAACAGAAAAAAAAATAAACAAAGGATTACATACAATTATATTAACTTCCGCACATCAGAACCAGAATTAATGATAGTAACTATGAACGATTAAGACTCGCTGACGTCAAAACGGAATCTAAAGCAGAAACCAACTTTTAGCGCAAACAAAAATATACTCCAACAACAAGTCAACAAAGGGAAAACATGACTAAAAAAACAAGGACAGGCGGTTACTGAGCAATTAGCACAGAATGTTCCGACCATAGTCTTAAAAACACAGACTTCATTTCTTCCAAACAAATGAGTGTCGTTTTTTCTGCGTGTTGTGATAAAAGGATCTAGACAAAAAAAAACATAACTTAGGCATATTCGACAGTCATATCGAAAGAAGTCAACAGTTTTTGAAGAAAATGCCCTAAAAACACAAAAAAAATCATTAAAATATCATTAAAAATTCTTTTTGCAGAATTTTTTTTTAAATTCTCGAGTACAACTTAAAATATGCATAAATGATTTATAGAGCTTCATATAGTAAACCATCAATAACAGCAAATACATTCAAAATAACAACCCGACCATGAATGAAACAAACCCATCAACAACCCAATTTAGATCCACAAACTGCTGATATGATGAAAATTATTCTTAATAGTGCAAAACTTTTTAGAAAAAACTAATTTCGTACTTTTCTTGGTGTAAACCTTAGCGATTAAACTTACACTTTTCTGCAGAGCTTAACCTTAAATTTTGGTTGTTTTGTGCGGAAATTATTATTTCTCCATCTCGGATAGAAAACCAAGGAAAACGCAAAAAGATTTTGGGTAGTGTAAGCTCCCATCCTATTAAGTTTCCAGCGAAACTGAAAAAAGTTGAAGGGACCTCGATTCGACTAACTCATATTTTCATTTTTGCTCTTCTACTCACACGAAGTGGGGACGTAGAAACAAATCCAGGTATCAAGGTAACAAATGAATCCAAAATTGAGAGACGATTTAAACTTGATTCTTAGCGAAAAATTTGAGTCAGTGTGGGTTGAAAGCAAACCTAATTTTGATGGTGTCAGTAAGGAGAGAATGTTAATAAATTTATGTTACAACCCAAACAGAACGAATTTTACTGAGTTTCTCGAACAACTTACTTTGAACATTGATAATACACTTTCTATCTCTAACCAAATTTTTTTGATTGGTGATAATAACTTAAAATATTTGAACAAGTCGAGAAAAGAAAATTTGGTATCCATCATCATTCCATATAGAATGAAAGTTTTTTGTCCAAAGGATGCAACACGAGTTAGTGCCAAAACCCCATATTGATTATCGAATTGGTGATTTTGAAACAAACGGAAACGAAATTTGCTTTGATAAGCCCTACAAAACAGATCATGTTGCTTCACTTATTTTGACAAACATTAAATGTGAAGAAAAAAACATGCCGAAAACGAATTTTATTTTCAAAAAAATAATAATTAACGAAAAGTGGAGTTTTGCCAAACTCTATCCGCTCTTCAATGGTTTCAATTATATCAAGGTAAATATGCACAAAACATGTTTTCAATAATGTTCAATTTAGCATCTTATACCCTTCAGCAACATGCCTCAATCGAGAAAAGAAATTTGTTCGTAATTTTCCGGCAAAAAACTTGCTGATAATGGATTGGTTCGATTCAGATTGCAAAGGAAAACGAAACAGAAATCACTATTAGAAATGAAAATTCAACAGAAAAATGGCCAAAATATCGTCTCTGTCGTGACCAATTAGCCAAAGTATTCGAAGGAAAACAAGAAAAACATTCGCATTTAGGCTATTCTTTTCTCAGCACAATCCAACAAAATGGAGATTTATTAATCAAATTCGAGAATCCGGTTCCATCAATTCCAGAATTACTTCTCTGCGTAACTCATTCAATGAAATGATCACACAGAACTTCAAAAAAGCCAATCAGTTTGAATACGTTTTTTTTTCAAAAGTAGGGAAACATTTAGGCTAGGTTATTTATTCCAGGAACTTCTGAACTACCAATCTTTAATTTTCAGCACGTAACTGTGAAGCAATGTTATGATTACTGCGAAAACTAAACATCCGAAAACCTCTGGGAACTCGTACTCTTCCTACTTGGGCAATAATTGATGGTCAATCAAAAATTGTGCCCTACTTAACGTTTGTTATTAATGCCTGCATAGATGAGGATTTTTTCCTACTGAACTGAACCAAGCAAAAATAACTCTATTATTCAAAAAAGATGACCCAATGGATCCTCAAAATTATCGACCGATTTGAATAACCTGTGTATTTTTAAAAAATTTTCCATTCACAAAAAACAGAAACTATGACTCCTTTTCAATTTGGTTTCAACAAAAAAAAGTATTCGAAAAAAATCGATTCCAAAAAAATTGTTCATGCGGCTCCATTACAATTTTTTCTCATATTATTTTAGTTAAAAAGTTACGCTATCTTGGCTTTTCAACAACAGCTAATACATTAATTGAAAATTTTTTGAATGAACGCGTTCAAAGAGTCAATGTGGATGTAATTTTTCTGGTCTAGTTTGAGGTCAAAAGAGGTGTCCCGCGAGAAATAGTACTGGGCCCGTTGTTGTTCAACCCATATATCAATGATATTCATAATCTGCGATGGATGTACTTTGATACAGTATTCAGACAATTGCATGGTAGCAGCGCAATCTATATCTTCAAGTGATGCTCTGAGTCAATTACAAAGATCCTTACACAAGCTTACCTTCTTTTTTGCTAAGAATCAGTTGAATCTACATGCATCGAAAGTAGAGTTTATAGCTTTTAGCTTTTTGTCAAAAAATGATAAGAGAAAGTGGAATCAGACCGTCTTATTATCAATGATCTTGATGTAAAGAAAAAATCTGAATGCAAATAATTATTTTTGATTCTAGATTCTTGATCTTTCATTTCAAACTCAAATAAGGAAACTTTTGCAAAAATTAGCTCAATGAATTAAGACCATAAAAAAAACATTTGGACAAAAGCTGCCTTCAATATCTTAGGTTGCCTTGCTTCACTGTTTAGTTTTATCCCATCTAGATTAAGCAGCAATTTTCTTGCCACAAATCAATGCGAATTCAATGATGTTTCTAGAAAAGCAGTTGAACTGGGCCCTAAAACGAACGTTTTTCAGATTCAAACTAAAATCATCCGCCGTACTGCGTAAAAACAAACCTTTTATCGGAATTGAACAAGAATATAACTGAAATGTGTAACTCATCATATATGAATATCTTACCGTTAAGAGGAAAGCTTTAACGAATGGAATCAAATACCGACAGCCAATTACAGCATTAATAACCGCACTAGTCAAAATTATTTTTGATAATCATTGTTCAACTGCTTCTCAACAACAACAAAAAAAAACATTTTTTCACCTCGCTTCAAAAAAAATGGAACTGATAGACAGTAAAATTAAGAAAATTCGACAAAACTACTTCAACGTTTGAGAAAAAATGAGAGAGTGCTTAACTTGTGAAATGCAATCTAACTCAGTATGTAAGCACACAAACACATGGCATGAACTTCGTTCTCATTAAAAGATTTGTAAAACACCAGTTTAATTTACCAATGTTTTTAAGATTGCAGTGATTTTTTTTTTACATTTCTATTTTTTTGTGTTGTTGAATCATTTTCTGATGTTTTTATTCCAGCATTAATTTTGTCGCATTTTAACTATTTGTATGTTTCATTTTATATATACTATTTAAGCAACTAAACTGAAAGTTTGAACTAATTTTTATAACAGTTTTTTTTGTATTGATGCTTAGACTTTTAATCAGTAATTGAAGTGTTCTTTCTTCTTCTTAAACGGCCTAAATTAAGCATACGTAAAACGCTCGCTGGCTGTTCAACCGGTTTTTCTCGACACTGGAAAAATTATTGGAACATTTTTAAAGTCGTTC